ATAGATATATTAAATATGCAGCATATTAAATCTGCAGCATATTCAATCTCTGTGTGTAATGTCTATGTTTCCTCTGCAGACCGATCCCATTGGCCTGTCCCTAAAGGACTCATTTACTCACTGGAGGCCACAGCTTATGCTCTTCTTGCGCTTGTCAAAGCACAGGTCACCATGTTTATTTCACATCATGCATATATATGAATGTGTGCGCATATGCATTTTCATTTGATCATTCAACTTTGCCTTCTCTTGTTACAGGACTTTGAAAAAGCACAACCCGTTGTGAGATGGCTCAGTAGACAGCAGAAGGTGGGAGGAGGCTATGGTTCAACTCAGGTAACGTATAATTGTCTCTTAAGTTATGTGTAAAAAGTCAGGATTTTATCATGCAGACTTTCTCTCAGAAATAGAAAACTGAGCATTTGCTACTGTTTCCATCCTCAGGCTACTATCATGGTGTATCAGGCTGTAGCAGAGTACTGGACACATGCAAAAGAACCACCTTATAGTCTGGATGTAGATATATTGTTACCTGGAAAGTCATTGGTTGACAAGTACAAAATTAACAATCAAAATCACTATCAAGCTAGAACGTCCAAGGTGAGATGTCTAAAGATATATCTACATCTATATATATCTATATATATATAGATGTCTCTCTCCCTCTCTCTATGTATGTATATATATATATTGTATGTTTATATAAATATTTTTTCTCTCAGCTTATACATTTCTAATAAGCATGTATCTAATGATAATTGAATGTATTAATGTTTATATATTTGAACGTGTTTGCAAATAATTCATTTCCAATTTCAACAGTTCCAGGGTATAAACAAGGACATAGAACTGACTGCCTCAGGAACAGGAGAAGCAGTTTTTAAAGTAAGTAAGACCAGTTTAGTTCCACAAGTTATTGTCAGATGTGTGTGGTGCACTTATTCATAACCCTTTTGTTGACTAGTTTTTACAAAGCTGTGGAAAATATATATACAGTAGAACCTCTACAAACAAATTTAATTCGTTCTGGGACCTACTTCATATGTTAAAATATTCGAATGTTGGTTGAAAAATTCCCATAAGAATACAATATAATTTGTATCATTCGTTCCACAGCCCAAAATCTACCATAACTCCTTAATAAATACTGCAGATAATTAAACATAGCAATAAAACAAATAAGTTATATAAAATTAGATGTAAAAAGAAATGAATTATAAAGAAATAATCAATAAAAAGGGGGGTTTATTGGCACTTTACTTTTGAGACTGGCGAACAAAAAAGAAAGCTTGTCGATTTAAAAAAAAATGATTTTGAAGTATGTTGAATATTTGATCAAATTTAACTTCTTATGTTGGAAAATTTGTGTGTTTACGCAATCGTAAGTAGAGGTTATACTGTATATGGAACTTGTCACAATAGTTCAAGCTTTTGTCTTGCATTCACGAGTTCATGACATATGAACATATCTCTTTAAAAAAACAAAAAAAATTTTAATAACAATATTGTGAGTAATTTGAAAGGGTTAAAGTTTGTACAGGCAATTTTGTTATTTTGATATTTCCGGTTCTCTGATATCCCAATTTAGAATTAAGTAAAGCACAAAAATAAAGCAGGCCAGTTTGACCATTTCAGTATGATAAAGGCCAGCCCTTTGACAACAAAAATATGCAAATATTTAGCAACAAAAAAAGAAAACTCCTACCAAACGCTGCCATGCCAGTCAAGACTGATGTGCTCTGGTAGTCCCTGTCATGATCGCGCATAGAACAGTGTATTTTTGAATTTGCCCTGACAATGATCGAGATTTTTTTTGTTTGTTTTGTAGATGGTGTCACTGTATTATGCAATGCCTGCAAACCAGGAAAAGGGATGTGAAAAGTTTGACTTGAATTTGCAGCTCCTAAAAGGTCATTTTGCCCTTTTTTGCTGTTGCTATTCTATTTTCCTTTGTTATAGTGATTTTTTTGCTGGCTTCCTTTGTTTTGTTATGCTTAAATTTTGATGATGAGAGGGGGTTAAGGGAGCGCATAAAAACTAATTCGATTTTTTGCTTCTGCAGAGAAAATTTCAGAGAGTGAGCAAATTTACAAGCTGAAAATCGAGGTTTTGTGAGTACCATCAACACTTCATACATCTAATCTAACAAGGCCCCTGTGTGTTTCGAGGAAATTGGTGGTTAGGGTTTTGTTTATGTTTTATTGCTTGAATATGAACAAAATCTGTGTGCAGAATCCTCGACAGAAGTGTTATTTCCAAACTGCATTAGGGATAGCAATCAGCATTCAAAGTTGTTCTCACAATCAACAATGTTTCATTTTCAGATTTAGAATTAGACTTTTGCCATTTTTAAAAAATGCCTATTCTTCTGTTTAGCATGGTGAGCATCAGTGCAGTATGAGTATATATATAGGCTATATATATATATATATTTTTTTTTTTTGTTTCTGTTAACACTTCTTTCTTTCTAAAATGAAGTAAACAAATAAGCAAATAACGAATAATATAGATGCTGTTGTATTTTCTTTCTAAACATCAGAATAAAAATCAGATTTATTGACAGTGAGTATTTTTACATACAAGGAATTTGATTTGGTTTTGGTTCGCAAATGCAACATATACATAGAACAAACATAGAATTAAGAAAAAATAAAGGATCAAAATGAAGTATAAATTAAGTATTAGTTATCCTATTCATCCTTTTATTCTGTTTGCAGATTTAAGGACAAGGACAGGGATGCATCCATGACGATCTTGGACATCGGTTTACCGACGGGGTATATCTTTAACAAAGAGGACCTGGAGGCAGTAAGAAATGCAATCATCTATAAACTAAACCTCAGGCTGTTTTCAAGCTGACCTGATTTTGTGATAACCTGTTTTGTAGTTGTCCAAAGGACATGCCCCCATTATTTCCAGTTACGAGACAAACCAAGTTCTCTCCGAAAAAGAATCTCTCATGATTTACCTGAAATCGGTAAGACTTTCATTATGCCTCCCTTTCTCAAATTTCAATGTTGTTCTCTGGAAAATGCACCAAAGTGATATTCACCTGAAATAACTTTTGTGTTCTAACCCTAATAAAGGGTCAAATGGAATGCTTTACCTCATTCTGACTGTTTTTCTCTTCCACGTTCGGACATGTAAAGCATTTGATATGACATTTGCAAATACTCATAAGGATCACATTAGGGAGAATATAATTTTATCTGGAGATTAATATCTTCTCCTTCATAGTAATGTGTGTTTTGATTTCCGAAAATGGTCCAAATCTGACAAAAAAGCACTGAAACAATCGGACTGGGGGTGAAGGGAGAAATGTCTCTATGAGAAAGGAATAAACTTCTTACAGTCAAAGATTATGGACAGATTTTGACTTTTTGTCACGCTGAATGCACATTTTATTGCATTCCGGATTAATGCCTAAAAGCCAACTCCTCAGACTCTAACTTTTACCAATCTACCGCCCAACTGACTTTTTGCTTACATTGCACCAAAGTTTGAATGGTAACATGCCATGCATTACTACTGCTACTTACACTTGATTTGCACTTGCTGATTTGGGGAAAAAATGATGTTGGAAAACATTCAAAATTCATCAGTACTGTAGAGATTCACCTCTTCACACTTTCATAACCTTTTTTGCTCCGATCCACAGGTGTCTCACACTCGCACCGAGGAGATCTCTTTCAGAATTGAGCAGAAAATGAAAGTGGGTGTTCTGCAACCAGCTGCTGTGTCTGTCTATGAATACTACAACAGTGAGTTTCTCCAAACATTTGACTCAAATATGTGCAGTGACCAATGATAATGAACCAAATGCACTTGCTTTTTCCAAATATGTGATCGTTTCATAATGTTCGTGTGTTGGGGATCGGCACTCGTCATAACTGTCTTTCCTGTCGCAGGGAAACATTGTGTGAAATTTTACCGCCCTGATAGGAGGAGTGGAGAGATCCTGAGGCTTTGTACAAAGGAAGAATGCGTGTGCGCTGAGGGTAACAGAAGCACTTCCTTAACAACACAAACTTCTTGCATGTTGTACTGTTGTTTAAATCTAATATATAGCGAAAACAAAATTCACCATTTAAAAAAATATATATGCTTAATCGATAGCTGTGATTTAAGGGTCTTTGGGAGTCAAGGTCTTGGGCTCCATGTGCAAACAAAATGTACCTGCGAAGCACTTTGAGTTAGATGTGGCCTCAGATGCGAGGATTAACTGACAGCATAGCACAAGAAAAACGTTTTTGCAGATTATTTGAGATTGCACTTCTAAAGAGGAAGCAGTGAGCTGACATTGAACAGTTTTTCAGGTATATTTTCTTGTACATGACATTTTAGTGGGAAGAAAATGCAGTATTAAGTAACTCCAATGTTAGGATGTGTTTTATTGGACACAGTTTTATTACTGGAATTTATCAAATATAATGAACGACAGAACCAATAATTACACTGAGTATTGGAATTACTATGTAAACATATATTGAGACTACTTTTATTTTTGCCATGTCATTCATCAAATGTGTTTTGTTTTCTGTCCAACTTTTTCTTCCAGAGAATTGCACTAAACAGAAAAAGGAGAAAATCAGTAATGACGACCGCACTAAAAAAGCTTGTGAATCCACAAAAACCAGCAAAATAGACTTCAGTAAGACCGTGAGGGAATGTGTAAATGAGTAAGCAGCAAAACAAGCCCGAAAGTTAACAATCTTCATCTTCTCTCCTTTCAGTTTACAAAGTGTCAGTGGAACATTTCAAAGACAATTTAGACACTGACATTTTCTCTATGCGGATATTGGAGGCCATTAAAGTAGGTGCGTATAATCTCTGGTTCACAAAGAAGATTCCAATCCAGCAAGAAAAAACAAAGTTTCTTATAGGCTTGGATTTTTTTCTTTGTATATTACAGTATATTGCTGTTGAAGAGCTGTAATTCACAGGGAAACCACTTTAAAGTTCATCAGAAAGCTAACAATATTTCACATTGTGCTGTTTTCCAGGATATGCCTTAGTCATTTGTCACTGAACATGCATGTTTTTGTTGATAACGCATTTGTCAGTGCAACACCAATACGTGATGTATCTTCAATAGTCTCCTCCTCAAACACATTTTTTCAATGATAGGAACAAGTGATCCGGCTCCACAGGGTCAGCTTCGCGCGTTTCTCAGTTATCAGCACTGCAGAACAGCTTTAGATCTGAAAACAGGTAAAACCTACCTGATCATGGGCTCCTCAGCTGATATCCGCAAGGACGAAGACAGGTTAGTGTGTTTAAAATTGCTCTGTGTTGCTGGGTGGTTGTAGCTTGTGTTAAATGCCAACAAAATGGAAAGTTCAACAAAGTTCAATCTGTTTTACGTGGTATGATGAAAACAAGCCCACATGTATTGGAGGTACCGAGCTGCTTAAAAATATCTGTATTTTTTCTTTTTCTTTTCTCAGTACCATGTATCTGCTTGGGGAGAATACCTGGGTCGAGTACTGGCCCACGAGTCAAGAGTGTAAGATTCCCGACTCAGAGTTCCGACCTGTTTGTACGGGAATGGAGGAGCTGGTCAACCAGTTTGAAATCTTTGGATGTCAGATGAAGAGAAAATGAACCAATTGAGTTCATTTCTAATTCCAAGGGTATTACTCTCTACATTGTAATGATAATTCATTATGGAGTAGCATTTCAATCTTGTGATGTTGCAAAGCCTTCCAGTGGTGAGCTTTTCCACATGTTTGAACTTTTCTTGAATCCATTGAACACACACTGCTATCTGAAGCTTCCGTATTAAAACAACAAACATCTCATGTTGTTTAAAATGACTTGTAAGACAGCCAATGCAATTTTGTTTCCAGCAATGAATAACCTGGGGCATCTTTAAGCAGCTTTTGATCCCTGTGAAAATTAAAACAAGTGATGTGAGAGTTAAGGAGCTAAGACTGCTGTGTGTTTTTGAGAAATGGTTCCATTGGTTTGGCTAAAATAACAATCTTTCATGTGAATAAAGAAATTGACAAAAAAAAAAATCACAGGAATATTTTAATTTTTACTTTGGTTTTTCAAAGTGTGCACTCACATACCATGAAGTCAATTAAGTATTTAAAAAAATGAATGACTGGATGGAAATGGACAGTACCTTTGAAGGGCCCCGAGATTAAATTTAGCACAGCAGCACCAAAAAATACATTAAAAAAAGGAATGATATACAAAGCTGAAACTGAGAAAAACATTTGGATGGATGGATCCCTTCAAGACTGTTCTAAAATATGGAGATTCACACAATCACACATTTGGCCCAAGTGTGCGGGTTATTCACCAGGAGTGACTCTGTCATGCATCCGGGGCCTGGGTGGGCTTCCTTGTTATTTTTTATCAAAAGCGTGAACCAAATATAGAGTTGATGAAGTAGAAAAACTGAATAGGAGTGTCTGATATGGTAATGCAAGAAATTAATGTCACATTTGAATACAATAGTGACAGCAATGTGTTTCCTGTTGCTGGAACAAATTTATGGCTTCCAGATCATTTCTGCTCAGTGGAAATCGACTCACAGCGCAAGGGCTGAATAATGATACAAATGATGATAGTGACACAGTATGAATAGGGTCAATACCAGAATTTTTTGGTAAAGAGTAGCATTTTTATCTGGCATTTAAAATGTATGTCCACCTGTACATCATTTCTAAAATAAATGCCTCATAGTTTGATCAATTGGTGATCTTGATAATTATAAGGATATCTTGATACGAAATATATATACGTTTTTTTTAAAATGCACTGATGATTTATTTCTTAACCTTTCTGAATTTGTTCATGATTTTACAGTAGGAAGTGTTCCTCTGATCCTGAATATAGACAAACACGAGTGATGTCTGCTTTTTTTCTCTTTTTTTTTTTTACTAAATCCATTGCATCTTGCAAGTGAGAACACCACCAAGAGGACAAAACCTGTCAGGGCAAAAAGGTTTAATTGAACCAAAAAATGCACTCAGACAGAGTGGATGACAGACAAGGTTCAAAACAAGGCAGACAAAACTATGAACAAAGTATCAAAGCAAGATTAACATGGATGTGAACAAAGTATCAAATCAGGTAAACAAGACTATGGCAAAGTATCAAATAAAGTAAACAAGACTATGGCAAAAGTACTAAATAAAGTAATCAAGACTATGGCAAAAAAAAAGACTGTGACAAAGTCCAAAAATCTAAATCTTACGTGGCGTGGACAAGACGAGGAACGAAAGCAAAGAGACACAGAATGACGAAACACACACTGGGACAGGACAGTGGGAAACGAGGACTATTTGAACACATGAGGGAAGGGAGCCCCAGGTGTACACAATAAGTAATCAAGGAGACGTGACAACACACCAGAAACTCCCCCAGACGTGACGAAACCAGCCTAACCTAGGAAATACCCGTAAACCTCTGTGTAATGAATGCGTACAAGTTATCCAAAAAAAAGGGTTGAAAAGTATCTTAACAACTTGATGTTTATTTATAAAACTATAGAATGAAACGCCACCGAACAACTGGACCACAGATCCAGAAGGCTAAGGAGCAGAGGCTAATGGTGGGAGGCTGACTACCATGAGGTGGGCCCAGGGATATTACCACTCATAATCACTGGGGATACACAGTAAACCTCACATTGAATCTACATACCAAAACCTGTTAAATTATTAAATATTATTAATTAAATATATTAAAGGTAAAATATTTCAAACTATGACCTCTGGAACAATATTTGCACTCTGTGTTCAGATAGCAGAAAGGAACAAAGTCAAAACATTTAGCTGATCTTGACATTATATAATGTAAGACTCATTTAGTAGTAAATAACTAAATTAAGTACAATGGAAAATGAGGGAGTGAACACTCATATAAGGAACACTCGATAGCAATTCACCGTTTGGGTTTCATGATCACAGTAAGCAAACATGATTCATGAGAATTTGATGGGGTTTCTGGATGATGGAGGGAAAGAACAAGGGGAGGACACAAATGCAAACGGATAAAAGAGGGTAACAGAGCAAGACTCCACACAGATGGCAGATATGGGATCTGGTATGTGGTGGTCCCAGCTTTTGCTGCTGGTTGTTGTGACATTTCCATGTCTGATTTCTCTGGCAGATGGATCTCCAGTGTGAGTAAACCTGACTTGTTTTCTTGTTTTCATGCATTCTTCGTAAACTTAAAACCTAGTAAATGTAGAGAGATAAAAACATAAAATATTTCCTCTTCATTAAAATCACATTGTTGTTGTCACAGATGAAGTTCAATATTTGGTCTGTCGATTAAATAAACCTATCACTATGAGCTTTTTGAGTCACGTTTTGTTTTGTTTTTTTTCTTTGTTCACAGTAGATATTTTGGTTCATAAGTTTTTAGAAAAACCTTTTATAGACTTAAGTCAATGCTATAACATTTCAGTGTAGTTCCAACTATCTCATTTCCTAAAGATTCACAAGAGGTGGATTGTATTGATGTATTTCTCATAGCAATCCTATAACAATGACTGCTGCAATTTAAAAAGATTTAATAGTAACAGTAAGATGACACAAAAACTTAAAACAGTGAGAGGTGCATTTGCAGTTCATTGCCACCCAAATTCCACATTTCACTTCGAGATTGCTTAGCAGTGCTTAATAAAAGACGAAGCAAGCAAAATACCTCACGGAGTAAAGATGGTATATTTTTTCAGTTTTGGACTGTTGTCAAGATAATCAAAACAAGTGATTGTGATCACAGTAAATACCTGAACTGAACTGAATTGCTGTTGTTACGCTGTTTTCCATCCTCACATTTCATCATTAGCATTCAAGAACTCTGTAAGCAGCACTTAAATTGTTCCTCTCTGCAGGGAAACGATGTCTGCCCCCAACTTGCTGCGAGTAGGAACAGCAGAAAACATCTTCATTGAAGTCCAAAATTGTGGGCATGACAATGACATACCTGTGCAAATCAATGTGATGGAATTTCCATTCAAAAAGAAAATATTGGCAAGCACATTTGTGACCCTGACAAAGGCAAAACTTCACCAGGATTTGGGAAAAATTATGGTAATATATTGCTGGACTGCTCATGTTGTAAACACTATTTTAAGCACATTGAATTCTATAAATGCTGCAAATAATGTTTCAGTAACTAAGAAAATATCATTTCAACATCAGCATTTTACAGATTGTAATATGTCTTTCAGTCATTTGAGGTGTTGGAGAACAGTTGTTTTTTTTTTAAAAGAATTCTCCTGGTTCAAATTTTAGGAGTTTTTCTGTGCATTTTGATTCTGCATGTTTTTGCTAGACTTTTTCCAGTTTCATCCCACATTTAGAACACATTTGAAATAAGGCCAAAGGGGATTACTCATTGATGGCAATTGTGAGTGAACGCATGCATGGTTGTCTGTCCCTGAGGTTTGAACCTGTGATTAACTGACCAACTGGACAGAAAAAGTGGAAAGCTTACCGAAAAACCAGCTGAATTGTTTCAGCAGGTCTCTCACATTTCAGACAATCTGAATCCTTTTCTTATTTTGTTTGTTGACAAGCATGCGATTCATTGAGGCTATTTAAAGACTCACTGTTGTAAATTTAAGATATTTGTCAGGTGTTGTGCAGCATAATCCAACTCTGTATGCCAGCATTTTGTGACTATCACTCATTTGTTTGTTTAGCTCTGTATTCTGTATTCTGTACTTTGTACTGTGTTTGCCTTTTGCTTTGTTTGACTGTCTGGCGTATGATTTCGAAAAGATGAGGTTAATCAAACTATAGATGTACCTTTGAGCTCTGAAAATAAACTCTGATGGGAAATGGAGCTCTTGGTGCCAGAGGAGCTGAGCATAGTCCATTCAGTCAGCTATTAGTAAGCTCAGCAAATATGTAGGTACGGACATCATCAACAAAGCTGCAAAATAATTACTTGAATTGGTGATTGCCTCATTTTAAGTTCTATTGCAACTGTACTTTTCTGAGGAAACCTCACTAGTGGAGAGAGAGTTTTCATTCCTACACATTATCAACGGATGTATTAAGCCTGCGTTAGCATTCTTTTTAATGTGGGAGGAAACTGTGTCACCTGGAGAAAACAAAAGGAGATTCTGCCCAGAAATATCTTCACTTTTAGGTTGCTTCAACACCAGACACAGATAAATGAAATTGTCACTAAAGACTGTGGAAATGCAGTTTAAAGAAATGAACAAATTGACTTTTATTAGAAACAGTTTAAAAGTTTTATCCCTTCTAAGTTTGTTATTTACACTGTGTGTCTTGATCATCAGATTCCCACTGATGACTTCAGTAGAGATCCCAACATGAAGCAATATGTTTACCTCCAAGCAAGGTTCCCGGACAGACTTTTGGAAAAAGTTGTGATGGTGTCCTTTCAGTCTGGATACTTATTCATCCAGACTGACAAGCCCATTTACACTCCAGAAAGCGATGGTGAGTGTTGTACAATGTCAATTCTCCAAACAGAAATCTTGTGAAGTTATGCCCTGATAGTGTGTGATGACCATGTTGCGCAAAACTTAACGGTTTTGAAAATAAAAAACAAAAACACTTGATCAATATCACAAATTATCTAATTTGCTCATTTCTAATTCCCCCAGATTAATTTTTTTTAAGTGCTACATTGTTACAGGCATTTTTTATTTAAAACTTTTAAGTTTCTGTCATATAACTGCCTCAAACAATAGATAGAATAGAATAAATTCAATCTATGCTCATGTACAGTGTTTTTGGAAAGTCATGTTTTTATTTCTTTTTGTCAACTTTTGAACAAGTACAATATACAAAATCCTTCTGGCATCTTACAATTATGTTTTCAAGTGAGCTGTGATATCTGACTATACATTGTTATTACATTTATATTCACATGTTGAATGGCTCACATGCAGAGATTTTCTCTAGATGCTGGATCTGTTAGTTTCTAAAATCCTAAAGTCATCTGACATATACAGATTTTCCAACACACACATTTTATGTCCATATTCTTAGTCAATAGGTTGACTGTAATTGACTGCTAAAAGTTTTTGTACAATGAATTCTGACACTTAAATACATAATGTTGCTCTATAAATCAAATGTACGAATCTAGTCACAATTGTCATTCTGTATCCGTCTTTCAGTGCGCTACAGGGTCTTTGCAGTGACACCTGGCATGGCTCCTATTGACAGAGGAGCTCAAACGGAAATTGAGATTGTGGTAATGTATTGCATCTTTTTTTTTTTTTTAATCTACAAGGACATAGACGTCCAAAACAGATGTCTGGAAGGGAGCAAACTATTTTAAGTTGCTAACAAGCAGAGCCAGAGAAGATGTGTAAATTATCACCAGTAGTTGTGTTTAACTCGAGCTTTAGCTCACTAGAGCTCGAAAATCTGTACAAAATTACCTAAAGCAGTGTGCAGGGCAATCATGTGTGAGTGTGAGTGTGAGTGCCCTGAAAACCATTTGTTCGCACCACACTTTGACAGTCTTAGTTCAGATTTTTAAAAGTATATTCATCTCTTGACAAAGCTGCCTTTTCATTCACTAGTCTCCTGAAGACATCGTGGTATGGGCTGGTGTCGGAAGTCTGAGGTCAGGCATCATGACGGACAGCTATAGACTTCCTAGTGTTACCAGGTAGGTTGTATCACAGCCTGGACAAAGGGCTCCAATCCAGGCTTTTTCAATGATAACTCAAAATCCAAATCACAACCTACTCTGACATGACCATCAACAATTGACCCATTGACTTTGTGACTCTGACATCTTTGAGAAATAAACTATTCTGTTTTGTTTTTTACACCCGCTTTGTCTCTTGTGCCATTGCTGCCCTCATCTGTCTGCACATCTGTTAAGCTTTGGCATGTGGAAAGTTTTGGCAAAGTTCCACATGAACCCACAGCAGACCTTTGCAGCAGAATTTGAGGTCAAAGAACATGGTGAGTCTCTCTTCAGTTTTCAAGCTGTTTGAATCCTCAATTTTGACTTAATTAAGAATGGGCACATAAATTGATATTGTTTTAAAGTTGTTTCCAGTTTTGAGGTTAAAGTGACGCCTGCAAGCTCCTTCTTCTTGGTGGATAGCGAGTCGTTGACAGTCAACATCAAAGCCAAGTATGTGAAGGTTTTGTTTTGTTGATGACGTTTTTAAGTTTGATTCATTAATAAGAAAGATGAAGCAACCTTTTTTTTGCACTGCGGGTTTCTCTATTGCAAGTTAAACTTTTCCCTTTAGGTATCATTTTGGAAATGAAGTGGATGGGGAAGCCTTGGTGACATTTGGAATTGAACTAGGGGGTTCTAAAAGGGGTTTAACAAGCTCCATCCAGAGAGTCCCGGTGAGCACAAATTCCAAAACCATCTACTTTTGAATCATGCCTGGTTTAATCTAGAAAAACTCAACAACTAGATCAAATGTATCCTAATTTCCCAAATTTTCCTCGATAATTCCCATCTAAGATAATGATTTGATTTACATGATCTGGAAGAAGGACCCATTAACAACCCGAGCTTTTGTATTATGTCACATTAGATCCAGAGAGGTGAAGGAACAGTCAAGTTGATGAAAGAGCACATCACAAAGTCTTTCCCAAACATCAATTACTTAATTGGGACTTCTATATTTGTAGCTGCCACTGTGCTAACTGGAAGCGGTAAGAACAAGAGACTGTATGTTCGCATATTCATGTGTCTATCACTAATAAATATGAACCGCCTGGCTGATCTGATCTACAATGCACCAAGTTTGTTTATACACATTTCGAGCTATTTAGTGGTTTTGTTTTTTGCGAAGGTTTGAAGAGCTGAATTCTAAAGATTTAAACAGAGGAATGCTTATGCGGTCTAAATCAGGCTATAAAGGTGTTCTTAAAACATTCTTTCAAATGTTTGAAAACTCTTGGTAATTAAGTTTTTTTTAGTCTATGCTGAAAAGTTCAAATCCTTTAATGACATCTCATTTATATTCATATAAGTGGTTGCTTCCTATGTGCTCTGTTACTCTATGGCCCTTTCAGCTTTGGACACAAATCTCAGTCAGCATTTTGGTCCACTTATAAACCCAAACGTACTACTTTTATGTCTAAAAATGCACTGAGATAGAACTGTGTTAAGAGAAATTGCACCTGCTCAAATCTTGTTTTTAATCGAATGACTTCCGAGGAGGATATCATCAAGATCAAGATCAACCTGTGTTAAAGTGGAATTTTTAATGTCTCGTAAACAGGAGGTGAAATGGTGGAGTCCGAGTACAAAGGCATCAAGATTGTCACATCGCCCTATATCATCAATTTCAAGAAAACTGCCAAATATTTCCAACCAGGAATGGCTTTTTATGTCACGGTAGCGTCATCATTCATATCACTGAGAATTTTTCCTTTTTTAAGACAAAAATTTAATCACAAATTGGCATTTTTGTTATGACAACCTGTGCTGTTTCACTTTTTATTTTAAAAAAAATCCTTGACTGATAAATAATGGTTTCATTCTTGCTGGTTTTCTTCTGTGGCAGATTGAAGTTCTCAATCCTGACAACACCCCAGCACAAGGTATTGCTGTAAATGTTAACCCAGGTCAAGTGATTGGTTCTACTGCTGCCAGTGGCACTGCAAGGTTCACCATCAATACTCCAGTGGGCCCTGAAACCCTGACCATAACAGTAGGTCTTTCAAAATAAACATGGTTTTCAGGCAATTTTCTTCCAATAATGCAGTATGATGTTCTGATAAATTGTTCTGTCCTGTTTTTCTTCATCTTTGTGTGCTTTCTATCACAGGCAAGGACCAACGATCCCCAACTTGCTCCTGAAAGACAAGCAGCTGCCTCCATGGTAGCTCGATCATTTAAAGCCAAAAGCAACAGTTATCTCCACATAGGTCAGGAATGTTCAAAAACTCAGGAACACTGATAGTGCAAACAGAAAAACACAAGGATAAGAAACACCGGTAACTAGAAAAAGTTGTTTTTACAGGTGTAGCTACAGCTGAGGTGGAATTGGGTCAGTACTTGAGAGTCAGCTTCATTCCCAGCAGGCAGGAAACTGTACAAAAAGATATCACATACCTGGTAAGCAATTTAGATGTATGTGTGTGTGTGTTTTAATGACCTGTCATTTTGTGTCTCAGGCTGCTGAGTAGAAAAGCTCTCTCTGTGTTTCTAGATCTTGAGCAGGGGTCAGCTTGTGAAATATGGACGGCAACAGATTATGGGTCAAGCATACACTATCGTCAACCTCCAAATTACCAAAGAAATGCTACCATCATTCCGCATTGTTGCCTACTACCACTCAAATTCTGACGAATTGATATCACACTCTGTTCAGGTGGATGTAAAAGACTCCTGCACAAGCAAAGTAAGAGACAGAACGCTTTTTAAACACAATTAAAACAGGGAGGCATTTATTCAAACTTTTCAAGGCACTTCAAGTTAATACATTAATTTTGTCAGAATTGAAAATGTCTACTTCCTTTTCCCTTTTAGCTAAAATTGGAACTAGTAGGACCCAAACCTTCCTATCACCCTCGCAGTACGGCCAAGCTAAAGGTCACCGGAGATCCACAGGCCACAGTAGGACTAGTCGCTGTTGACAAAAGTGTCCTAAACAACAAGAACCACCTCACACAGAAAAGGGTGATTATCTTTTTTCTGTTTGTTGAAATCATTTTAAATTGATTATTTGTTTTGTGTGTTTCAGTCCAAATCGTCCAGCAATGATTTAACTGTGGGTTCAACATGAATTGTTGTGGAAGTATATTCACGTGTAACATTGCATTGGAGATTTGATTGATTTAAAAAATTTATCGAGCATCAAATGAGCATCAAAAATCCCTACAAAGGACAAAAAGCAATCATAAATCCCCCTATCCCAGTTGAGAGATGTCAGCATCTTAAAAACAAGCCAGATTTTTTTACAACTTAGCTTTAATTGATGAGGTCACTTTTAACCTACCGGTACCTAACTTGTTGTCTCCTAATAATAAGTTAGATATGTGACCATTTGAAATACAGTCTGATTGTATTTCTGCTCAGATTTGGGACACAGTAGAGGAACTGGACACCGGTTGCACTTCAGGGGGAGGAAAAGACAGCATGAACGTCTTTTATGATGCTGGGCTGCTGTTTGTGACAAGCACTTCTGAAACACCTGACAGAACAGGTAACACCACAGCACTCTGCCACCAAGGAGAGTGTTAAGATCCTGTGGAAAAGCAAGAAAGATTACATTCTTAAAAAATGCAAAGACATCCTTGTGTGGACTGGAAAGACTTTTTGTCGGATTTTGTTTTATATTTGAATTGTTTTGCATTTCCAGATTCAAAATGTCCAGTCCTCGGCAGGAGGAAACGAGCCATCTCTGTAATGAACGTCAGAACCAAATTATGTGAGAATGTTTTTCTTTTTTATCAAACAGAAGAACTTTAAAACAGCTCATCAAACCATCCATACGTGTATGATTTGCACATCAAGGTTTTGCTCAATAACCCATCTTCTTGAAACTTTACCTCAAAAGCAGGGATGAAACTGGTTGTATTCTGTTTAATCTGAAACAGATAAAAATCTATTAACTTCTCAAATGAATGAAACTGTGCTGTTTTAATGCTACACCCACTGACCATCTTTGCTTTGTGTTTTCTCTGAAATCTGTCCAAATAGTAAGTCAATATGAAGACAAGGAAGGAAGGGAATGCTGTCTGACTGGTATGGGGCATGTTACTGATTCATCCACCTGTGAGATGAGCAGCAGGGCCATTGTCAATGGTTCGGCCTGCATCAAAGCCTTTGTACACTGCTGCAAAGAGATGGAAAATCAGGAAGTGAGGAGGGGAGAGGGAATCAGCTTACGGCCCCGCACCAAAAGAGCAGCAGATATGGCTGGTACTGCATTCACTATGTAATTATATTGAGATAACAGTTTCTGTTTGCCAAATAAAAAATATCCTCCTTTTTGTGATGTCCATGGGCGAAGGAGATTCATCTTACACTGACAGAAATGACATTTCAACTCGCACCAACTTCCCTGAAAGCTGGCTTTGGATGGATTTAATGCTGAAACCATGCCCTCCTCAAGATACAAACTGGTAAGAAGAGCAAAAGTGAAGTCAAAACACCACAAAAATCTCACTAAAAGTTGTTCTGCAACCGAATCTGAAAGTTCTCTATTTCAGTGTGTCCTCATCAACGGAGACAAATATACTGTTAAAAGACACAATAACAACGTGGCAGCTCACTGGCATTAGTATGTCGGCCACCCACGGTGAGGACTCTTCATTTATTTACTTCTGTTTTCCTATCAGGGTTAAGAACATTTCATTCAGTTGTGTTTTTTCAGGGGAAAAAATCCATTGGCAGTGAGACTCTTTCCCAGTTTTGTCCGCTCAGATTACCAATTTTTTGTTCGGCTTTTCATGCAACTGAGTGTCTTCTTAACAAATATTTGTCAGTTCAGAAATCGTCAGCGTAAAAATGTCAGAGGTGAATCATTTCTGCCTTATATTTCTCTCAATCTCATTGTACTATTTTACAACCTTTTTTTTTTGTTCTGTCTTTCTCCTTTTTGAAGGCATATGTGTGTCCGATCCAATAGAGCTAAGGGTCAAGAAAGACTTCTTTATTGATCTTAGGCTGCCATACTCAGCTGTTTATAGACAGCAGCTGGAAATAAAAGCAATTCTTCACAACGACAGTCCTGATCCAATGACTGTGAGTATTTGCTATTTAGAAGTGCGTTTTGTAACCACAAAGGTTCGAGTCCCCGGGGGGAACCGGAACCTTTCTGTGTGGAGCTTGCATGTTCGCCCTGTTCCTTCCACTGTCCAAAATGCATGGTAGGTTGATTGGACATTCCAAATTGCCCTTAGGTGTGCTTGGTTGTTTGTCTCTGTGTGGCCCTGCGATGGACTGGCGGACTGTCCAGGGTGTACCTCGCCCATTGACCACTGGGATAGGCTCCAGTTCCCCCCCGACCCTATTGGGGAAAAAGCGGTTACAATGATGGATGGAATTTGCTCAACAAATTCTCACTCCTAAGAAATTAGATTGGTGGAAAATATATATGAGCAGCATAATCCCAATATATGAGATACCCCCCGACTCCAGCTGATTGTAAACACAGCACAAACAATAAACACAGCACAGAAGACCTAAAAAATAAAAAGAAACATAAAATACACATGTAAAGTAAGTTTAAGAGCAGAATTTAATTCACCCAAATCCAGGTGCCAATCTAGGAGTGTGCCAATAAGAAGTTGGAATAAACCTTCCTAGACCAACTACTGAAACACACAGAATTATCGTAATTAATTTGAAGATTTTGGCGATTGGAAGTATTTCCTGCTCAAAAAACAGCTTTGATGATTTTTATATGTTGAAAATGTGCATGTGTTCGCTCAAAGCATGATGCTTTTTCTGAATTTATTCAAGTTTTTACTTTTTTTACAATTTTCTAGAGATGACAGTGAGTGTAGCTTAAGAATGTATTTATATCTTTGATGTTTATAAACTTCATATAACATAAAGCTTACCCTACCTTATAACTCGTCTGTATTTGCAACATTCCTGTAGCTTTTGTGAATTGTGAAATAACATCAAAAGCTACTACGCTTCTTCTGGGGACATGAATTTCATTTTCTTTCTTTCACTCCATTTTAACCCATTTCAAGGTGCGCGTGGATCTGATAGAGGACCAGAACGTGTGCAGTCAAGCTTGGCGACGTGGGGTTTATGGTCAGGAAGTCCAAGTTGGTGCCCAAAGTACTCGATCTGTTCCATTCATTATCATTCCAACGAGAATGGGAGAAGTCTCTATTGAGGTCAAAGCAAGTGTTAGAGACAGCCATTTGTATGATGGAATTCAGAAGAGTCTGCAGGTGGTGGTAAGAGAATACAGACTATAAAATATGTCTCAAGATTTTTGTAAGCCTTTCTGTGTTATTTTTTTCCTGAGTATTATTCAGTACACTGTGACGTTTTAATCTGTACTGTTCCATCAGTACTCCTCATATGTGAAAAAAAAAAAACTGTACTTAAGGCTTGTGATAGATTTATAGAGTTCTCTATAGGTGACCCAGGAAGAGTCCAGGATTAAGCCGAACAATTGTCCTATTTCTGCTCTAACCAATGTTGAATTTAAAAAGACTGCACCATGGACACTAAAGCCTATAGAAAGAAGAAGCTGTGAATTTCTGAGTTTTTTTATTGTAAACTCCTTCTTGAATGAAATCTGTTCATCAAAAACTTAATGCATTATTTCTTCCTCCACAATTTTTCTTGTTGGAAGTGTCCAAAGTCATGTTGCCTTTAATGGATGTTAATTTAATGAAAGGTGGTATTTTTCAGCACCACATAAACAGATACCAGCTATGTGTCATACTACGGTACATAGTTCTTAAGAAAATATATTTTTTTGTTGTTGAAGACGAAATCTTATCATTTCCATAGTCAAAACTCTTTATCCTGTAAAATTTGTATCTTATTTGTTGAAGAATCGATATTCATTTTTATCTTCTGGAGGCATCCAAGACTCTGTACACTTAAATAATATCATGGTGCAGGTTGTCCCTGTTCATACTCGGTGGTTGTGCATATACTTGCTGTCATAAATGAACTTCTTTTAATTGTTCTATTCTTTTTTTCCAGCCGGCAGGAGTACTAGTAAAATCTGTGAAGGTTGTCACACTAAACCCTAAAGGTAAAAGTGATAAAAATATCATTTTTTTCTCATTTCCCAATCACCTTACTTGCTGCCATTTCATTTTCTTTTTAGGTGGGCAACAGGTTGAAATTATCAACAGTGAAATTCCTCAGAATAATCTTATTCCAAACAGCCCTGTGAAAACAATAATCTCACTGAAAGGTCAGTCCAAAGAAACTCTTGTCCAAAAGCTGGAAAATTAATTTGGTTATATTGTGTGAGGGATTTAAAAGAAAGGAAAGTATTCACAACTACACTCAGACCCATTTTAGGGCAGTGCCTAATCTCCTAGTTATCAAAAAGGAAATTAAAATTTTTTGAATGCATATGTTTCTGTGTACAGGCGACCAAACGAGTCCGATGTTAGGGAATTTTATCAGTGGGACGTCCATGGGTACTCTGATCGTTCAGCCATCGGGCTCAGGAGAGCAAAACATGATTGCTATGACCCTGCCTGTCACCGCAACCATGTATTTGGACAAAACAAATCAGTGGGACGTGGTCAGCCTTCAAAAACGTAAAGAGGCTCTTGAGTACATCAAGAAAGGTTTGCCCACACATTTATTTTCAAACAAGTGATCTGTATAGTTCAGCTGATTTCAGATAAATAAAGAAAACATATTTGGTTGGTTGGTTTTCTGCAGGATACCAAAATGAACTGGACTACAGGAAACCAGATGGCTCTTTTTCTACTTTCACTAATAGTCAAAGCAGCACCTGGTGAGGGATTAAAGAACTAATAAGTGTTTAGACCTCCTGCTCTGATGGCTGTAGTTGACCTGTTTCTTTGGTACTACTGCAGATCTGTGGCACACTCTCTTTTCTGCTCTCCTATGATCCCCTGCTTTCTCCTCTTAAAGGCTGACTGCATATGTTGCCAAGGTGTTTGCCATGGTGCATGATCTGATCGGTGCGGAAAAAAGCGTGATCTGTGACGCCATCAAGTTTCTCATTTTAAAGACTCAACAATCCAACGGCAAGTTCACAGAAGTTGGAAAGGTGTTTCACACCATCATGACTGTAAGTGTTTTTATTTCATTATTCAAGTTTAGAAATTATTATGTAAAAAAAAAAAAACAGCATAAAAGACATTTTTTGTCTGTGTGTGTGTTTGTAGGGTGATGTTACCGGCACAGACTCCGATGCCTCCATGACTGCTTTCTGCTTAATCGCTATGCAGGAAACTCAAAGTCTATGCGCTGACACAGTTTATGTGAGTGCTCCTCCATCTCCTATTGGGCATCCCAATACATCTGCCTGTCTCCAGAAAGTCTGGAAGAACTTATGAAAGAAACCACATGTTAAAAGAAGCAAACCCAGACGCTAGACATTATTTCAGATATAGTTTCTGGTATGAAAAGGAACTAACTTTTTTAACGGTCTCACATATTTGGCACTGAATCGTGAAGTGACAAGGAAGGGGAAACATTTCACAAGTTCTCATGCATGTTCTGAGTTTGCGTGAGCTTTTGCTAGGTTTTCCTCTGACTCCCAAAAAAATGCATTGTAGTTGACGGGAGATTCTAAATTGACCCCAAGAGGGAGTGTGTATGAGCTTGGTATTTAGCAGTTTAGGATCAGGATCACTGGTCTGCTTTTCTGATACATGATGTGGCTGATTTCTACATTTTCCCCTGTTGGTATGTATATTTTTTGTTCCAGTCGTTGCCAGACAGTAAAAGCAAAGCAGTGGCCTACCTGGACGAGCGACTTCCACACCTCACCAACCCCTACGCTGTTGCGATGACATCATACGCCCTAGCCAATGAAAACAAACTCAACAAGGAGTTCCTTCTCAGCTTTTCAGATCCAGGTGTGCTAAAGTCATTAGACAAAAGATCAGTTAGTGTATTTAAATGCCCTCTGAAAAGACTGGAGAAGAATTAGGTCATTTAAATTTTAATCAGTGCTGAAAGCTATTTGAAATGTCATGTGTTTTATCCTTTGACAGGCCGATCCCACTGGCCATCAACAAAAGGAATTTCTTATACTCTGGAGGCCACAGCTTATGCTCTTCTTGCACTTGTCAAAGCCAAGGTGAGCTTATCTCACTGACAAGCTAGAACTAAATTGGCTGTACTAAAAGGGATGTAGCGGGTTGTTGATGTCTAAATGATACATAGTAGGCCATTAAACTTAAAATTCACTCACTTGTTTATTGTTCAACAAAATTATTGTTCCAAATGCTTTCTACATGGTTCTTCATCTCCAGAATTTCTGATAATCATTTCTAATAAACTCTCCTGGCCTTTGTTGTTAAAGGCCTTTGATGAAGCCCGAACTGTTGTGAGATATCTGAATCAGCAGGTGAAGTTAGATGGAGGTTACGGATCGACTCAGGTACGTTAAGCTGCTTGACACATTTTTGTTGTTGTTTTTAATATAGTTTTTGTTTTTATGTTTGTTTCGTGTTTTGCTTCACCAGTAAATTGGCTTTATATATTTCTATTGATATGTGTCCCTCATCAGGCCACAACAATGGTGTACCAGGCTGTAGCCGAGTACTGGACCAGTGTCAAAGACATAGAGTATCCTCTTCATGTGGAAATCTTATTACCTGATAGGAGTCAACCTTCAAAGTACAGCGTGAATAGAGAAAATCAACATCGCGCAAGAATATCTCAGGTGAGAAAACAAGTTTGTCGCTAATTAATAATAGTGAATGGGTGAGCTGGAACTACATATAATGAAAGATGCTGAAAAATCTTGCATCAGTACTTCCTAGGAAAATGTTACATGATCTCACATGCTTCTTCGTGGTAATATGAATAATACAGTTTTGGCCAAGGCTGCGTAATCCACAATGAGTTTATTGATGATTAGGATCCTCAAAATAACACGATTATTTATTTGTTGCATTGGAAAATGTAAAGCAACAACTGCGAAACAGACATTTGTAGTGGAAATGAACAATCACTCAAAATGTTCCACAGAAGCAATCTAATGTGTTAATGTTTTAGTGTGTATTTTAAATCATGAAAGGCAAAATTAAAAGCAAAAAATACATACATAGATCCATAGAAGATAATAATGACAAAGGTTGAAATTGAAAATGTTGTGATTCCTGATTTAGAGGATAGCATTTAGAAAATATTGACCAAAAAGTGTAAACTTAAGAGTGCTATCTTAAATATGTTTGCTTGTATTCATGTTCAAAATCTCCACAGTTCAGAGCTATAAACAAAGACATCAGAGTGACTGCTATTGGAGAAGGAAAAGCTACACTGACGGTAAATCTCTTTCCTTCTGTTTGGTATAGTGAATTCTTTTTTGTTGCTGCATACTTTTATCCAATATAAGGTTCATGTCAGATTTTATTGTAATGCAGTTTGTGAACGCAGTTAAATGTCACCACCATTTTAGAAATATTTATTCTAAATGTTCATTTAGACACACACATAAATGGCAGCTGCAGACAGATTCATGGGTCCAATCTTCCACTTGATGTTTCACAAATTTAGCTTTAGATCCAGATTTGTGCCAGCGGAGAAAAAAAGTTTCCTCATAGGCTGTTTTATTGTGTCTGGGACAGGTGATGTCAATTTACTACACTGCATCTAAAGAGACCGACAGTGACTGTGCTAAATTCGACATGAAAGTGCAAGTTCTTCCGGGTAAATGGGCCTCTTTTGTCTTCTTATGTTGTATTTTCTTTTTCTGTGGAAAAAAAAAAAGTGAATGAAATTGACATATTTCCCTATGCAGAAACAGCTGTTGCGAATGAGAAAGCATACAGGCTGAAAATAGACGTCATGTAAGTCACAACAAGAGCTCAAAATAGGAACTGTGTATGGTTCCCACACTCCTTTTTTAAATTTTTCACATTTGCTCGTTATTCATATTTATCTTCCTGCTTTTACATTCATAATAATTTTCTCCCTTATTGGGCCCAAATGTCCATAGAAAAACATACTTAACAGAAGAACTTTCTGACTCTGCGCAGGTACAATGACAAAGATCGTGATTCATCTATGTCAATATTGGATGTTGGCTTACCATCTGGCTACATTTTTAACAACGATGACTTGGATGCAGTAAGAATATAGAACCACACATACACACACACAGGATGAAGTAAGCTTAAAAACACAATTATTTACATGACCATTAACTGTCGGACTCTCAGCTGTCTAGAGCCGGGAGTATTTCCAAATATGAGGCAAATACAGTTTTGTCAGAAAGAGGGTCACTCATCATTTACAAGGACAAGGTAAGATTTTATGTCACTCACTTACATAGGATGAAAGATGCAATCCCCATTATAGCAAACTAATTAGTTATGGCTTTATGTCCACTCTACTTTTCCACCAAGTTTCAGATAGACAAGTAAAGTGTCTTAAGTTTTATTGATAACAATGTTGCCTCCCTGGGTAACATTAAACCTTAAAACATCAGTTAGTTTAATGTTATTTGTGTTCAATCATAACAGAATATACCCATCATACATTATGATCCAAAAAATGAACAATATGATTTATGGGAGTCAGCATCAGGAGGGAAATAGTGCCTGAAACCTCAAGTCTTAACTTCACCAGCTAATCAATCCCCTGTCACAGTACAAAGGAAATCTTCACTTTTCCAGATAGTTTCCAGTCAGCCTTAACACAAGTTGTATGAGATGGGCAGGTCACCTTTTTAGTTATTTGGGGAGAAACAGAAAATGGATTTGTTGCACAACTTTTAAAGTGATGGATTTTTAGCTGATATTTGATACTTAAAAACAAGGGGTTACAATGAAGCCACATGCTTCAAAGCCAGCTCCAACATTAACATGAACGTTGTACAGCGGCCCCCACTGTTGTTGGGTGAAACTTTTTTTTGCATTCAGAAATCTTACATACTGATATTTTTTCTGGCAATCTCTCCACAGATTTCTAATGAAAAGCCAGAGGAAATCTCTTTCAGGATCCATCAAAAGATGAAAATGGAGTTCTTGCAACCCGCTTCTGTTTCAGTCTATGAATACTATGATAGTGAGTGATTGAATGTAGTGTTCCTAAAACGATTAAATAACAAGTTCTTTAAAAAAAAAAAAAACAAGCGCAGAATTATACAATCTGAAAATAAAAGATTACTTTCACCTTAAGTGCCTTCAAGGCAACTTCTGACATCTCTATTGTTGTTTTAGGAAGAAATTGTGTTCACTTTTACCATCCTGAGAGAAGTGGAGGTCTGAGGATGCTGTGTCAGTCGACTGAGTGCATTTGTGCTGAAGGTAAACTAAGTCTACAGATTTAGAAATGTAACCTGCCACACCATTGATTGTATAACTGTATAAGAACATTAAATTGGGAAATAAGCGTGTAGCTTTGAAGCTTAAAATATTACCTCATTTTTCTCGTTAAAAAAGATAAAGCATTTAATGACTGGCAGACATCACTTTTTTCTCCTGACTTTTTGGAATGTAACATTTCTCAAGAATTTTACCCCAAACTAATGAATCTTGAGTAAAAATACCGTTTTAACTCATTGATGCAATTTTCAATGTCAAGAGATGTACACTCATATTGTTCCCTTTTGTATCTCTAGATTCTTGCAGTAAGCAGAAAAAAGGGAACATTAACAGTATGGTGCGTATAGAAAGAGCTTGTGAGTCCACAGTTACCGGCAGAACAGATTTTGGTAAGACTCTGTGCATGTGTGTGACTGACTGAGACACTTAAATGTCAATCAAATGAGCTAATAACTCTCAACATGACTCCCCGCAGTTTACAAAGTGAGTGTTGAGGAGATCACCAAAGGTATTTCAACTGACCTTTACAAAATGCGGATTGTTAGTGTCACGAAAGTAGGTAGGAATCTTCAATTTTATTTTTTGACATTCTCATTTCCTCTAAATGGTCTTTCCTTTAGAAAAATAATTTTGCTTGTCAAACAATACATTCATAGTTATTGTAGTTGTGTTTAAGATATATAAGTGAGCAGGAGATAGGTGAGAATCATTAGGAATGGTATGCATTCATCTCATTATCAACACCTGAGATTTGACTTTTTCTTGATCAATATTTCCAAGCCCGTGTTTCAATGTGATGAAGATCAGGGCTTCTGTATGTAACCCATTGTTAAACGGTTGATTTTTTTCTCTTCTGTTGTCATTTATTTACACATTTGCTCGAAAGGATATGCTGACCTGTCTCCAAGTAATCAACTTCGCACATTTATCGCTCAAGTGGACTGCCGAGAAGCTCTGGATCTGAAAGCAAGCAAAACCTACCTGATCATGGGCTCATCCACAGAAATTCACAGAGACGAACACAGTTCTGGGTTTGTGTTGATTCATTTCACAGAATAGTGTCATGGATTAAATGTATTTTTAGTCTTTTTTTGTAGTCGCAGGTCATTGTCTCTTTGAATCACAGGGTTTTTCTGAGAATGTCTCTTTAGCCAAAAGAAAGCTCTGCCTTTCACCCAATGGCAGCTGAGATAAGGTCCAGCTCAAAGGAAATGGATTTACGTTTTAATAGATCCATCCATTCATTTTCTATACTGCTTTTTCCCCAATGTAGTCAGGGGGGACTGGAGCCTATCCCAGCTGATAATGGGCGAGAGACAGGGTCCACCCTGGACAGGTTACCGATCTTGGGCCACACAGAGACAAACAACCACTAACATTCAGCCTTTGGGAAAATTCTGAGTGTCCATTCTCCCAGCTTCCTTGCTGCTGTGAAAAATAACTTTTTCTTACAGCACACATTCAGCTGACTGACTGTCTAAAACCAGCTAACATAAAGATTTCCCTCTCCCCTGCATAGATACCAATATGTGCTTTCTGGAAAGACCTGGATCGAATACTGGCCCACAGACTCTGAGTGCGCTACTGAGGCTTACCAAAGTACCTGCCAAGACATTCGCGATATGGTCGAGCAACTTGAGCTGTTTGGGTGTCCAAATTGAAAAAAACGAAGATAAAGATTTTTAAAAAGTTTAATTTAGCTTAGCAAAATTTAAGAAGGAAACCAATTTCTACAACTTAACAACATCTTGTTGAAACACTTTTGGATTAGATAGTAATCTAAACCGAACATTTAAACATCATTAACTGCCTGGGCAATATTTGAAAGTTGCTGCAATAGCTGAAAGCATTTATAAGCATTACCGTCCAGCCCCAATAAAAAACGGGTTAAGATTCTGTTCTTACCTTCGTCTTTAAAAGTCCCATAAGTTGTGAGTCAAGATCTCTGGGCAAAACATTCTGATCTGCTTTTCGAAACATTAAAAAAAAAAAAGAAGCATGCTTTTGGGTAGTGACTGAACCTGTTTTTCTAAAATTTGCTTTTGTCTGTGTCTCTTTTTTTTGTGTGCAGAAACACAAAGTGTTTTACAAAAGTTTTCTTAATTTCATTACTTGACTGCACTTTCATTTCAACACCATCTTGTAAAAATACAGTTTAGACATAATTCAGAGAAATTACTCACAGCAGAAGTATTGAATATGTCTCTTGTCACTGTTTTTCAATTGAGACAATAAACATTTGGTCAAATGATGCATCTTGTCTGTTATCTTCTTTTAGCCTTTGACTTCAATTTTGGCCACATTTTGTAGGTCTTGTTTCCCTCAACGGTGTGAACGCGTAAAGGAGTGTTAAAATGTGTTTTTTTTTTAAATAAATTTTCTTTCATTTTCACATTAAAGAAGGAATAAAAACAAATTCATGTTAGTCATTAACATGTAATGAAGAAGTTTGGAATAGTCTTAGCTGATTAATCTCCTGTTAGGTGTAGAGGCCAAAATGGAGGTTATTTGGAAAATTAATTAAAGGTTCACAAAAAACTGGCCATAGACATGGAATTTTGTGGATTTTGGAAGATATGCAAAGAGCTTAATCCAATCCAAACCATCTTAAGATTTGACGTTTTCTATCCAATCACATCTATCCCACAGGATCTGGGGAAAATACAAAACAGCAGGAAAGACACAATCCGACTAAAAATAGTATTAAAGGCAGGAAAACTGAAATAATGAGTAATCATCCACACAACATTGAACACATTTCAAACGTTGGTCAGTGTTTGAAATGTGTGCACACTGACCAAAATAAATTAGTTCAGCAAGCAAAGACAAAGTATTATTTACCTTTTTCTTTTTTTTTCCAGACACTGACCTGTAACTGGATGTCAGTGTGAGGTACGGGCGGAGCATGCTACTGTAAGGATATATAAAGAGTGTCACAGAGCAAGCCAACAGCCACCGCAGATATGGGTTCAAATAGGAAGATACCGTCTGTTTTCCACTTGGTGGTGTTTTCCACTTGGATTTTTCAAGCTTCTGGATCTCCTTTGTGAGTAAAACTTCCTCATGAATTGCCTCGCATGTTTGGCTTTACCCTGAAGCCTGTCCGTAAAAGATTTTGGGTTAAAGGAATTATGATATTTAGGACATGATTTTTTCTAATGGCGCTCTGCTCTCCTGTGTACAAGAGGCAAAACAAACTCTCTCTCTCCTCTGCCCAAAGGGAAATCATGTCTGCCCCCAGCTTGCTGCGAGCTGGAACACCAGAAAAAATCTTTGTAGAGATTCAAGATTGTGAGGCTCAGGGCGAAATAGCTGTGCAAATCAACGTGATGGATCACCCAGACAAAATAAAAAACATTGCATCCACCTCTGTGACCCTTCGTAAGGAAGAGAATTACCAGGGGTTTGGAAGTCTTACGGTAATGTACTGTAAAACTACTGGTGCGACTTGACAAGCATGAGCTGAAGCTGATAGTTTTAAGTGGTTTAAGTGGTTATTTGATTTTGTTTAACAGGTTAGCTTTTACATTAGGACACTGTAGCTCTCCGTCTTTGTAATTTAAGTGAAACAAGATGCTTGATTTAAGAGGGTTATATATGTTAGTGTCTACAATTGCAGAGAGATTATATGGCAGACATTTAATTCCAGTGCATTTCAGTGTTTCGTTATCAGTTATCTCTTGTGACCTGCAGTGTAAGTAAAAAAGTTCTTAGAAAATGTTGTTTGTCAGGTTTTGAGCCCATATATTTGTTCTCCCTATTTGAGAGTCCTGGACTTACCTTGGCATTTATTCCATATAGTAAGATAATGTCTGTATGTAACCTTGAACTCTAAGTTAATGAACCCTGAAGCCCTTCAACAATTGGGCAATGGCTGATTCAGTTTGCTGTGGGTTTGCTTTGAAGAGCTGATAAAAGCAATCCATCATTAATGGAGCTTGGAAAAAAAATTGAATTAAAAAACAAGAAAAACAAATTTGATAAAGGTCACAATTTGGCTGCCTCTCTTTCATTTTTTTTTAAATATGTACCAATACTTTGAATATAAATATTCACAGATGTTATACCCCATGGTGTCATCTTTTCTTTTTTTTTTCCTTCTTTTCAGATCAATCCTTTAGAATTTAGTAAGGATCCAAACACAAAGCAGTATGTTTACCTCCAGGCAAAGTTCCCTTCGCAGGTATTGGAAAAAGTTGTGCTGGTCTCCTTCCAATCTGGTTACATTTTCATTCAGACTGACAAGAACATCTATAATCCTAACAGTATGGGTGAGTGCTGCACTACACCAATATTGACGTACTCAAACCGTCTTATTTCTGTTTCACCCGCGTTGCTACTGAGGGCAAATCTCCACAGTATGTAAAGAATAAACAAAAATTGAAAATGCCACACTCAATTAACATCGATGTAACCAAAATCCAATCCAAAGAGCAATTGTTTTTCAGGGACAGTGTTTTTTGTAGGTGTGTGTTATTTCAATGGTAAGAAACACTGGCTAATAAGGATGGATCCGAGATCTCTTTGTTAGATTTAAAAAAAAATGTACTTGTATGAGGAGGTTGAACTTGGAATGAGTATTTTGGGAAGTGGACATGAAATGATTCATGAAAAACCCAACTCTTTTATTTCTGTTCGCTTGACAGTCTCATACAGAGTATTCGGACTGACGTCCGGCATGGAGTCCGTGAATAATAAAGAGGATGGGGACGTTGTCGGGCTGATTGAGATTAAGGTAGAGAATCAAATAAGAACATGTAAAAATTGGTGTTGCTTGAGTCACGCACGGTAAGGTACCAGACTTTTCTTTATCCAAAAAGTTCAATAGCACGTGTTAATGTGTGTTAAATGCTGCTCATTTGTAGACTCCTGACGGCATCACTGTGTCATCTGATCCTATCAGTTTCCGTTCAGGAATTTTACAGGGTACATACACGCTTCCTAACATTGTGAAGTAAGTGGATGTGATATGCATGAAATCAAATAACTACCATTATTCCCCGTTTCTGTATGTATATTCATTTTGAGGCCTTGTTTTCAGAACTTTTTTTTCTCATTACTAGACAAGTAATGTATAACAATGTATAAAATGTATATAACATAAAATGATTTGAGCAATTTATGAATTTATTGTCATTTTGAGGGGCAAATCTTTTATTAAACATGGCATACGGATAATTTTCACAATAGGAATGGAAAGCTTACATTTATCAGTAAGTACAAAGTTTGTTGTCTTTGAAGTCAAATTCAATTCTTTTGAAAATATTGCGCGTATCAGCAACAGAACTATTGTCATAAAAGCTCAATGATTTCAAACCCTCAGCAATAATAAATGTAACTGTGTTGAATACCTGTGTTTTCTGCGTGCACCTGTTAAGCCATGGCTTGTGGAAAGTGGAGGCAAAGTTCCGCAACAACCCACAGCAGATCTTTGCTACAGAGTTTGAGGTCAAAGACTACGGTGAGCCCCCCTGGTGATTTAAATTTAAATGAAATATCTAATTTTCACCAAGTAGGCAAAATGCGTAAATCAATGTATGTTATCTTTCAGTTCTTCCTAAATTTGAGATTAAAATGACACCTGAGAGCTCCTTCTTCTATGTGGACAGCGAGTCACTGACGGTCAACATCAGAGCCAAGTATGTGACGGTTTTTGACTAGTCGAGTTCGATTCATTAATTAGAAGAGAAGTTTCAACCTTTTTATTGCTCTGAGTAGTTTGTAACTTGAACATTTGCTTTCATGTTCAGGTATTTTTCTGGTGATGAAGTGGATGGAACTGCCTTTGTGATGTTTGGGGTTGTGTTTGCTGGTTCAAAAACGATCTTACCCAGCTCCCTACAGAGAATCCCGGTGAGATTGAATGCCAAACCTCTGCTTTTGGTTATTTTGTTGTTTCATTTTTGTGTCATGCTTTTAAACCGGGCACAAACAGAAAAACATATCTTTGTTCAGGTTTGATCAGGTTTTGAACCCTGCCTGGTTGATTTATCCATTATATTATCTTATACAATATTAGATCGTCAGAGGTGATGGACAGGTGCAGTTGAAAAGAGAGCACATCACACAGACCTTTCCAAACATCGCTGAGCTGGTTGGGTACTCCATCTATGTGTGCGTCACTGTGCTTTCAGCGAACGGTAAGAAACAGCGCATTTGACTTTGTCATAACAAATGAACTGATTACGTTTAGGAAAAGATAGCTAAAGAACAAAAAAAAAATAGAACTAATGAAAATAGCTGAATTGGCAGGAGCACGGGCTCTCCCCATAAAACTAAACATGCAGGGGATGAAAAAAGTATAAGATACGATGTTAACACTTCAAGAAATGTATTGGGATAACTTTCTGCTGTGTACCTCATGTCTTGGCGGTTTTACCAAAGCAACGAGACAGGATTTGTGAGCACCACCAAAAGCTAAACAAGTCAACAGGCAAAGGCTGCTCAATTGCTGCTCTCAGGGGTGCCAAGGCAAGAAATGAGTAACAAATTAGTTCAGATGTCATTAAAATCCCACTTCCCACCTGTTTTCAAAGTCGGCATGCTCTGGTTGGTGCTAGTGCATTGATATCTGCAGGAAAGGTTTATGGAAATTTGAAGCATTTTCTCTTGAGGAAAGCATCTTTCAATCATCTCCAAAGATTACAATGTACGTTTGACCCAAACAGGACATGACCTGGAGAAGGCAGAGTCAGGAGGAGTCAAGATCATCACATCGCCCTATTCCATCCATTTCACAAGAACGCCCAAACATTTTTTACCGGGAATGCCCTTCGATATCACGGTGAGGATGTTTCACTAGAACTTACTAAATTAAAAGCTGCCATTTGCTTTAAAATAAAAACAGAAAATATTTGTTTCTATGTGATCACCCATGGTTAGACATTGGTCATTGTCTAAGGTCTGAAACTTGTCAGTGCTTTGACTATTTTGCCTTTTTTCTCTGGCAGTTTGAAGTTTTGACTCCTGACGACACCCCAGCAGAAAATGTTCCCATAGTGGTCAATCCTGGTGGAATAAGTGGCACCACCTCAAGCAACGGCATCACTCAATTTACAATTAATACACGCCAAAGCTCTGTTGACATGCGTGTTACAGTGAGTTGTATATCAGTTTAAGTTTGCCTATGTCAGGACACAGGTCAAAGTCCAAATGAAAAGTAAAGTTCCTGTCAGGTGAGGTCAGGTCAGACACATGAAATCAGACAGTTCAGCTCATATGGGATCGAGGCAAATGACAAAGATCAAATATCTCACAAGTCCCAAACTTCAGGCGCAATTAAATTATTCAGAGGAATACTGAATTTTTAAAAAATGAACGGCAAAAACAATCAATGGCGCAGGAATTTCACACCTATTAGAAATATTTAAGGAGAATTAATGCAGATTGGGTTCATCGTTATTAAATCAAGCACAGGCAAGGTGTACAACTAGAACCTCCACCACTTTTTTCAGTTTGCACATAATTCACAATGCTAAGGAGTCGGCAAAACAGGTAAAATAACAAGCTTTAAAGAAGGCTCATCCTTTAAGCTGCATTGAAGACAGACACTGTTCATACTGGAGCTGAACTGAACTCACTGGTGCATCCCATTAACTGCTGAAAATCAGTAGAATGTACGGATGTAATGTTTATGTTTATGTTAACGCATTTAGCGGACGCTTTTATCCAAAGCGACTTACGATATTACAGTTATCATAAGACCTCTAGAGGTAAAACCATAGTCAGAATCAATGCGGACAGCAAAGAGAAGGAGGGAAGTGCAGAAAGAGTAGTAGAGGAGGTATAGAGGTATGGGTAAGAGTTAGGATAGGACATGCTCTTTAAAGAGATAGGTCTTTAAGAGTTTCCTGAAGATACACAAGGTCGCTGCTGTTCTTCTAGTGCTTGGTCGGTCATTCCACCATTTTGGAACAACACATGAAAAAAGTCTGGATTGTCTTAAGCGTGGTGTAGGAACCTGAAGCCAGTAACCAGTGAAGCTCGATGAACAGAGGGGTAACGTGAGCCTTTTGGGGCCGATTGAAAACCAGACGGTTGTATTGTACAGGCTGAGAGACCAGTGGGGAGTGAGTTGCAATAGTCATGGCGGTAGATAACCATAGTCTGGACCAGGAGCTAGGTAGCATGTTGGGTTAGATAGGGCCAGAAAATTCTTGTGTTTAGTTGTGGGAAGCGACAAGATTGAGAAACGGAGGTAACATGATCTTTAAAGGTCAGCTGGTCATCAATCATGACACCCAAGTTGCTTGGAAATATTTTGTTAAACTAAATATGGTGATGATGAATATTTTAAAAGCATTATTTTGTCTGTCTGTATACTTTGAACTGCAGTGAAAGAAAGAGATTTTTTTGAAAATCTGAAAAAAAAGCTGAATATGACTTGGTCATTTTTTATGACCATTTATGTTCGTTTTTTGTTTTTTTTTGTCCTTGTTGCTTTTGTTTGCCTTTGATCACAGGTAACCACCCAGGATCCCAAACTCCCCAATAGTCTACAAGCAACTGCCTCAATGACCATTCATCCATTTCAAACCAAAAGCAACAATTATATCCAAATAGGTCAGGTACCTCCTGTAACTTCATATAAATATATCAGTCGATATTGATTTTAACATTTATATGTTTATATATTTAATATTAAATAATTTTACTCTTGGATGAATAAAGTATTTTCTGATTCTGATTCTGATATAATTCCTCTGGCAAGGGTTTTTGCCCCTCTAAATGCTTTGTACCAACTGCAGAAATCCTTCCTTACAGGTGTGGACCAAACTGTGTATGCATTAGGAGATAGCATGCGTGCTTCAATCTTCCTCAGCAGGCCAGATCATCATAAAGAACTTACATACCTGGTGAGAGATACCTTTGCATCCTCTATGAATATTTGTATGAATACATTTTTTCTTTGTTTTTTTTAGCCCGGAAAATGAGTTTTGTTTTTGTGCCCCCAGTTATTGAGCAAAGGTCATCTGGTAGAGTATGGGCGATACAAGATGTCGGGTGAAGTACTATTATACCTCATCTTTCCAATTACCAAAGACATGCTACCATCATTCCGCATTGTTGCGTACGTCCACACAAATTCTGATGAAGTGATATCAGACTCGATTTGGGTGGATGTAAAAGACTCCTGCGTGGGCACAGTAAGAGACCCAACACTGATTGTCAGCACCATGCATGCAGTATGATTTTTCAATGTCAAAGACAATTTCTTTACAAATCTATGCCCACTGTCTCTTATAGTTAAAGCTGGAAACAGCAAGATCTTTGCCCATCTATGAACCCCGCAGGTTTTTTGGTCTAAAGATCACAGGAGATGCAGAGGCATCTGTTGGGCTTGTGGCAGTTGACAAAAGAACTCTTGCCCTGAACAACAAGAACCGCCTAACTCAGAAGAAGGTAATCATTTCGATTGATCTGATAAAAGGAGCTTTCGAATGTCATATGATAAACCTTTTAACATTGTAAAGTCTTTTCAATTCAAAATGAAATGACCTGGAATCACATCTGATGGAAATCTCTTAATTGAGGAAAAAAAGATTAGTGTGACAAATCGGATATTAATATTCTTAAAATGCAGATAATCGGACACAATCGATAAGAGCCAACCCCAAGACATCTATATTCCAAAAGTTAAAATTATCCAACCCAGCCCTGCGCTTGTTTTTCTGCTCAGATTTGGGACACTGTGGAGAATTTTGACATAGGCTGCACACGAGGCAGAGGGAAAGACAGCATGAATGTTTTCCATGACGCCGGACTGCTGTTTGTCACCCGCACTTCTCAAACGCCCGACAGAACAGGTTAGAAGCTCAGCAGCAACCCGCACAAGAAAGGCTTTCTCTGTTCAAGCCAAGAAATGATGATAGTGTTGTATTTTTCTCTGAGAGTCTGCATGATAGTAATTGCATTGTAAAAACTGTGTCATTAGTTAGTTCAGCATTTGGAAGCCATTCATGCCCACTTCTTTTTCATTTGACTGCTTATATTTTATTCATGTTGTATTCATGGAGACAAATTCAACACAGTGCTTCATCATCTCTGTGATTTAAATTATTTAGACTATTATTTCAGGTCTTTTCTGAATTACACATATTTCTATCATTTCAAGGAGTGGATGTGTCCACACTCATCTGGTCATAAACCTCTCATTAATATTGATGATGTGAACATGATTTTAGACCTTCAACTCTGGTGAAATTAGAATGACAAAATGACAACATTTATAAAGAATTCAATCTTTCAAATTCAGTTTACATAAGTGAATCTAGATTTTTTTGCACCAAAGGGTGAGATCAAGAGGAACAAAAATTGACGAAAGCCTGACAGTTTTGTAACAGTTACCTTTATGGTTCCTACTCACACTGAATTCACCATTTCCTTGTCTACTTGTCTTATTTTAGTTGATCAAACGGCAATTGATAAGAGATACATTTTGTACTGCCTGGATTCTGAATTTTTGCACTTCCAGATGTAACCTGCCCTGCATCCAGCCGGAGGAAACGCGGCACCACTGTGATTAACTTCAAAACCAAACTGAGTAAGAACTGTTGTTTTTTAACATTCCAGTTGCCAATCAATGCATTTCCGCATACACATCAGGCTCAACAGGGTTTCCCTTATTTTTTAGGGTACATGGTATAAAAAGCGGCTTCTAAATGTTTTAAATTTGAATTTGTCAGGAAGGTGGGTCTTGAGGGAGGACTCAGGTGCGGAGATGAGGGAAGACAAGGTTTATTGTAACAAAAAACACTCTTGAAGAGTGAATGTCCAGACAAAGTACAAATCAAGGCTGTGGAAAACTGTGAGCAAAGGCAAAGTAACAAAATAAAGAATAACAAGACTGAGGCAAAACTATGACTGTGACAAAGTAACAAAATAAAGATTAACAAGACTGTGGCAAAAAAACAAACCTGGACTGACGTGGGGGTGACGAAAGACGAAAACGCACTCGCACCAGACAAGGGGAAACGAGGACTATTTAAACACATGAGGGAGGGGAACCCCAGGTGTACACAATAGGTAATCAAGACAAGACGAGACACCAGGCATTCCCCCAGACGTGACAGAATTGTGACTATTTGACCAATTGTCATGTGTTAGAATGAGGCTTGTTGTGTTAGCCTTGTTCACTTATTCGCAGGAAAAGAAAAACAGACACTGGAAAGGCATTCATTTCCATCAAGTTTTGGTTTTGGATAGACATTTTGTTAAGCGCTCATCGTTGACTCAATGGAGGAAGGTATTTCACCTCTTGTTATTTTCAGTGAGTCAATATGCAGACAAAGAACCAAGAGAGTGCTGTTTGGATGGGATGAGGACTATGCCTTTTTCAAACACCTGTGAGAGGCGCAGTGAGTACGTGGAGAATGGCCCCGCCTGCGTTGAAGCCTTTATAAACTGCTGCCAAGAGATGGAGCAGCGAATGAGGAGGAGAGAGGGACTCGCACTACAGGCTCGCAGCAAGAGATCAGAAGGTGACTACTCTCTAATTATTTTTAGAAACCTGTCTCTATTTACCACTTAAACGTTTTTTGTTTTTTTTTCCACAATCGAAGAAGATGACTATTACATGGATAGAAATGAAATATTAACTCGTACCACCTTCCCTGAAAGATGGCTGTGGCAAACTGTAAATCTTGGTCCTTGCCCTCCCCAAGATAGACACTGGTAAGGGCAGCAACGCAAAGTGAAAGCCAGGGAGTCATGACATCATCAAAATATATTTGATCACATTGGAAAACTCTTTGTTTCAGTAAATCCACAAAAATGATAAACTTTCCTTTGCCGGACACAATAACGACGTGGCAGATCAGCGGCATCAGTTTGTCAAGTCATGGTGAGAACCGGTTATTTTGTTTGGTATTACCTCAGTATTTTTCTTTAAATGAGAGCAAAATGAGAACAGGATCATTAGTCTGATGAGAGCTGATTGCTGAATGAGATATAACTCTAATCGCATCATCTATGAAACCTAATCATCAAAAACTTTCAGCGATCAAAGTAAAAACATGAGAATCTCTCTATTTTACAAGTCAGATCTCCTGGATGCTTTCTTCTTTAGTCTTATTTCATCTTTGTTCATTCTTTTTACATTTAAGGAATCTGTGTTGCCGATCCAATAGAGTTGTCTGTCCGAAAGAACTTCTTCATTGATCTTAGCCTACCATACTCTGCCGTAGTTGGGGAACAGTTGGAAATTAAAGCAATTCTTCACAACAATGACATCGACACCATCACTGTGAGTCTCTGCCATTCAACCGAAGATGTTCAGCATTGGCACTTTTTGAAGAAGTCAAATATGGAATGAAAAATAAATCTAAAGCAAGTTTTCACAGGCTAACTTTTCAATTCCAGAATGCTGGTTTTAAACAGTTGAGCTGAAGAACACAAAAGATTCAGACCCACAAGAATTTACACTTTAGTTTATTACACACAAGAGAACAGAGTATAATGAAAGAATATATATTGTTGTTTTTTTATTAGAAATTATGAAAACTTATTTTTTCATTGTACAATTTTTAATCAATGTTGTTGATTAAAAGTGCTATTTGTTAAATTGCTATTTTCAAACAAATATTTGTTCCAAACATTTAAGAAATCAAAAATTGTTCGAACTTTGGACGCAGATAATTAAAACGAGTTTGGCTTCAAGAACACAAATGTTTGATCAAACGAAGCTTAGAATGTTGTTTTTCACAACAGCATTGATTTTCTAGACACATCATGATTTTTGGTCATTTTCTTTACCCCTTTCTGAAACCTGTGAATCGACGAAAGCCGTTTTTCGTTTTCAACACAGCTGCATTTTTTCTAATTCCAAGGTGCGTGTGGACCTGATGGCGAAACAGGACGTGTGCAGCGCAGCTTATAATCAACGGGTGTATAGTCAGGAGGTCCGAGTTGAACCCGAAAGCTCTCGATCTGTCTCATTCATTATTATGCCTTTGACGATGGCAGATATTCCTATTGAGGTCAAAGCAGCTGTCAAAGACTCATACTCGTCGGATGGAATAAAAAAGATGTTGCGGGTCGTGGTAAGAAAGACAAACTATAATGTAACTTATTATTCTGTATCATTCTTATTTAAACCATCAACCCCTCAGTAAAATGTCATGCATCTTGAGTTTTTGTGACAGCGTATCAGACCAGTATTTGTCTGATATGGATGCTGTTCCATCAAATGACAGCTTTCACAGCTTTCTCTGGATGTATCTTCTTTCTTTTCAGCCTGCAAGTAAGCTGGTGACAAATATAATGACTGTTACACTGAACCCAGCTGCAGAAGGAGTTGGTATGCTTTCATACGAATTGAGGAAAAACAGTAAATGACGTGTTGTACTTGGTGCATATCATCTAACCTGTTCATTTTCTTTAGATGGAAAACAGGAAAAAATTATCAAAAGCAACATTCCTCTAACAGACATCGCTCCAAACACACCTGCGTGGTCTACGGTCTATGTGGCGGGTGAGACCACGTGGAGGCCTGTTTTTTTCACGTTATGTATCATATCATGTTTATCAGCTATTTATATTGGCCGTGTCTGTGTGAGTTGAAAACTTGCAAATCTCCAACACATTTTATCTAAAAGAGATCCCTTTATCTTCAGCGTTAATTTTTCTTTTGTTTCACAAATGTCTTTGCTGTGTTGATATCGAACAAATGCACAAATGCTGGTTACTAATCACTTATATCGACTCCTTCATCCCTTCATAAAGCCTTCCAAAATATGAAACCCAACCTTCACAGAGGGGTTTCCCCTGAGGGGCACTTCTACGTTTTTTCTAAAATAAATGTTGATTTGAAGTTGTGACGGGGACAGAACTTGTCTGAAACTGCCACCGATCAAGAAAAATGAGTGGGAATGACTGCTCCATGTCTTCCATTTTACCCTATTTGATATTTATAACATGTCTTTCCTAATTCATATCTTCAATTTCTCTTTTGTGTCAAGTCTAACATATTTTCATTTTTGTTATCCTTTTTTCTGTGTTCACCCAGCAAGACACAGCTCCCAAAAGTTTGAAGGAATTAGTGGAGACTCTATGGGTCCTCTGATCGTTCAACCGTCAGGCTCTGGGGAGGAAAACATGGCCGCCATGACTCTGCCTGTCATTGCTACCGTCTTTTTGGACAAGACCGATCAGTGGAGTAGTATTGGCTTTAAAAAACGGAAAGAGGCTCTGGAGTACATTCTGAAAGGTTAGCTTACCCAGTTTATTAAACAGGTATCCTGCTAGTTGATTCAAACAAAACTGAAATTTGGTTTGTTTTATCCAGGCTACCAAAATGAAATGGCCTTCAGAAAAGCAGACGGGTCTTTTTCTGCTTCTTCGACTTCCCAAAGCAGCACCTGGTGAGGCACTCAACAATTTAAGATTGGATTTAGGGTGTTTTGCTTGTATCAAATAAGCCTTTTTCTTTATTTCTAACAAATGCAGTTTCGTGACACTTTGGTTAATCGTCTGTGCTTCCCAACACTCTCCTCTTTAAGGCTGACTGCTAACGTTGCAAAGGTGTTTGCCATGGCACATGAACTGGTGTCAGTTGACAGAACTGTGATCTGTGACGCCATCAAGTTCATCATTTTAAACAGACAGGAAGTCTACGGTGCCTTCAATGAAGAAGGAAATTTGATTCACGCTTCATTGAATGTGAGCATGTTCACTTCAATAAACCGCAGAGTTGAGTTCAAAATGAAAAAGAATATTTTTGAAAAAGGAAAGTTTTACCAGTCTGTGTGTGTGTGTGTGTGTGTGTGTGTGTGTGTGGTCCGACATGCGTGTAGGGCGGCGTTGCCAGCATCGACGCGGATGCTTCCTTAACGGCGTTCTGCCTCGTTGCTCTGCAGGAGACAGAAAAAATGTGCTCTGGCACTGTGAGCGTGAGTATTTCAGCGTCATCTCCAACTGCTGAACTGACCAACCAATGTGCTTGAATTAAGAACTGGGGCAGTTGGTTTCAGGGCAGCAGGTTGAGCCATGTTCCTTCAACTTGATCAGATGTGCTGTGTTTGTCTTTGATGCAGATGATGTCAGCCGGTATTGAACGAGCCGTCAACAACCTGGAACACCGTCTGCCCACCCTCGTAAACGCCTACACAGTGACAGTGGCGTCATATGCCCTCGCAAACCAGAACAAGTTGAACAAGGCGGTCCTCTTCCAGTTTGCTGCCCCAGGTGTCCCCCAAGAAATATTAATGGATGAAATAAGCCCTCCTCATTGCACCAAATTATTGCTAGCAAAGCTTGTCAGAGGTACATAGTGGGAATTAAAATGTTCTCTCTGTGTATGTTTGTCTGCGTCCTAAACAGACCGATCCCATTGGCCAATACGAGCCGGGGATGTGTACACACTGGAAGCTACCGCGTATGCTCTTCTTGCACTTGTTAAGGCTAAGGTAAACTCACCCCACTGACATATGAAAAGGCTGACATTTGTCATGTTAACAGAGATCACATACATTTTGTGTAGTGGATAAAAACTTTAAGTTCTTTCTCTCAAAGGGGTCTTAAATGACTCAAGGTTACTTATTGAAGTTCAAACTAATATTTCCAAATATGCCTAAGCATTTCTGTTCAAACAGCTTTTTAAACAAATGACTTTTTCTGTTGTTAAAGGCATTTCAGGACGCCAAACCTGTTGTGAAATGGTTGACGGAGCAGCAGAGGGTGAACGGAGGTTATGGATCACCTCAGGTAAAACGTTACGTTTTTTCCTTTGTCTGAGAGTGTGCCCTGAAAAACTTCATATGTCTCTCTACAGGCCACGATGATGGTACACCAGGCTATAGCCGAGCACTGGACCAGTCTTACAGGGTCAGGGACGGATCTTGCTGTGCAAGTCCTTCTACCAGACAAAAGACTAGTTGAAACCGATTTTATCACTGAAGAAAACCGCCATGTAACAAGAATCAGGCAGGTGAGAACAAACTGTGATACAGAAAAATAGAGAAATGCTGCTAAGATATTCTGATAAATCCATGGTGTTATGGTCTATAGCACTGATTGATGGTCTTATACCTAGCTAGTAACAAATCTATGTGAAAATAAAGCTGATATTAATCTATCATTGTTATAATGATCGTTCTATAGACTAAATGTAAGAATACAGGCCAACAGACGTAAATACACAGACATTTTGTTAACATTAGCTTTTTTATGCAAAAACTAACACTTTGATATAGTGCCTAGATACACAGTGCAATTAAATGGCAAAAATTGGGTTAAGGATGCCCAGTGAAGAAATACTGAGTCAAAAATCGATTCAGGAACCAGTGAGTGGTATGTTCCATTTTACACCTCAACAGTTTGAAGGCGTGAACAGGGACGCTAGGATAGCTGCCACTGGAAGAGGAGAAGCTATAGTAAAGGTAAATGTGCTTTTTTTCTTCTTTGTATGACTTTATGTTCTTAATTGCAAGAGTTGCCGAAGACCAATGCAAGGTTATATTAAGAAACTTTTTTTCTAAAAAGTATCACTTAAAAATGACACCTTTCTTAACAAAAAACAATTTGAGGTGAATTTGACGGAATTTTTCCATTAGGAAAAAAGCTCTTGTACATTATTCATTACATTCAACAAAAAGTTGGAGTAGTTGACAACTTCTGGTCATTTTGACTTTAAATGTGTACTTTCTGAAACTAATATCAGGATCAATAAGACAAGAGAGGAAATAATTCACTAATTTAAAGCTTATTTTGACTTACTTTTTTTTTTAATCTCTGGCCTAGCTGGCGTCAATGTACTACTCTCTGCCTCTGAAGAAGGAGGGTGACTGTGACAAATTAGACATGACCGTGCAGATTCTTCCTGGTAAACTTTCACTTTAGGTTTGAACGTTATTTGAAATGATTCACTCCCTTGTAATTATCTGTCTGAACTGTATTTTGTCGCCCTCTCTTTTTTTTGTCTTATGCAGTAGCAGTCAGTGATCAAAGTGAAACATACAAGCTGAAAGTAGAAGTCGTGTAAGTACCACTAAAAGCTCAGTCAGTTGAGCATTCCTGCAGCATGAATTATTCGTATCACAGCCCACAATTTTCCATCCATGTTTACTCATTGACTTCATTCTTGTTTTTTCAGTGGTTTTTCACTATTGCCCTGCGTTGTAGTGTTTTTGGAAACATACTACAAGTATTTGATTATTCAGCTTTATTTAAAGTTTGCTTACTTCTCATCACTCTTTTGTACCTGTTTGTAGGTTTAAGGACCCAGAGCGTGACTCTTTTCCATCAGTTTTGGATGTGACTTTACCAACTGGCTTCATTTTCAACACAGAAGACCTGACAATGGTAAGCAAAAAGCACAAGATCTGAAAAACTAAATGCACCCACACAGACCTGCCCTTTTCCGACACACTTTGCTTGTGTGCGTGCAGCTTGCCCAAAGCCCCGGTCTCATCCTTGAAAATTCTGATCTTGTCAGTGGATTGTCAGATAGAGGTTCACTTATCATTCACCTGGCAAAGGTAAGACCGTTTTTCTTGATGATGGCAAATCTCTCCACTGTTTTACCTTTAAATTGCATTGAAATTGTTATGATCAACTAGTAGAAGCTTTTTTATCTTAAAGAAATACTTAAGCTGTCTGTTTTTTTATTGGGATCTAGTCATTAAATCATGGCATGGGGTTAAAGTTAGGGTCATACATTTTAGGGTGTCAATGTATGGACTCCATTCACAGTAAAACCAGGCCTGACTTCATCGTTTGGCTGTTTAACATTGTTTAACTTAACCCCGAAGACCAGATAATGCGGTTAGAGCTCTTGCGTGTTTTTCCAAAGCTGCCATCTGATTTTCAGGTTTCTCGCATACAGCCCTTGGAGATCTCTCTCAAGATCCACCAAGTGATGAAAGTGAGATTCTCACAACCAGCTGTCGTGTCAGTATATGAGTACAATGACAGTGAGTTTGCAAAGTTAACCATCAAATGTTCCTTCAGAGATTGACAACTTTTTTGTTGTTTTGTTACCCTGGAAAACAGCTTTAGATGATATGTCTAATGTGCACTCATTGGTATGTTCTCTTCTCTTTGCAGGAAAGCCTTGTGTGAGGTTCTACCACCCCAAAAGAAGCTCAACGCTCTTGAAGCTGCGCATTAATGACAATTATGTGTGCGCTGAAGGTGAATTAAAAATAGAGGAAAACTAACAGGAACAATTCATTGGACAAAAGTATGTTCAATGGGACACAACCTATCCTATGAGCCTACAGTATATATTATAGTAGACACTAAATTCATCGAACCAGTCTATTAGTCACAGCTGTTGGATTTTTTTAACAGTTCCTTATCCACCCATGACATCATGGACGCTTGTTGTTTTTCACAACCTTACTTGATGTATGACTGCTCAAGTTTGATGTAAAATACTCCCACTTCTTTCAACTTTTTCATGACTATAATCATTGTAGAGGGGAAGTGATTATTAATTACTACAGCAAGGTTTGTTCAAAGAAGGACAACAAGGTAAATATCAGTACAGCCCTCAGACCCCATGTTGTACAGCACAGCAAGTGTTCAACTAAACATTTATTTATCGTTCAGCTGATTTTACATGAACAAGTACTCATCCATCCATTAACTTCTGTGATCTGGTCACAGACATACCAGTTCCACCAGTAGTGTTCTGACATCCCTACAGCATTCTATATTTTGACGTGGTAAACTGCATTTATATTTATTTTCTTCAATGATTTCAGAAAACTGCGGAGTGCAGAAAAAGGAAAACGTACCAGACGATTCACGCATTCAAAAGGCCTGTGAAACCTCACAAATCTACAAAGTGACCTTTGGTAAGATGCTCTCTAGAAGTGATCAAGTAAATTAGCTTGCACATATATGAGCATATAACTCCTTTGTGTCCCCTCAGTATATAAAGTGAGAGTGGAAGAATTCACTGAGAGTTTTTCTACTGACAATTACAAAATGCGGATTGTCACCACTATTAAAGAGGGTGAGTAAGAATCTCCTGTTATCAGTACTTCTGGTCTGCTGAGCAGAAGCAGGTGTTGGTCATTAAGTATTAGCTGTATTTATTTAATCTAAAATGCTTGACCTATGAGTCCTCTCCTAAATAATGCAATAATATCCTTGTTTAAATTTTAAAAACGTCAATGATCCCATAAGCTGTTGCTCAATTCAGTGTTCTATTTTCTTCTCTTTTCTCCCTTGTACATCTTCATTACAGGAAATACAGATGTGTCTCCAACTGGTAAACTGCGAATATTTATCAGTGCTGCACACTGCAGAAACGCCTTAGATCTGAAACTAGGCAAAACCTACTTGATCATGGGCTCCTTCAAAGATATTCACGGAGATCAATCATCAGGGTAATGGCTGATCAGTTCTACCAAAATGATTTCCAATCTTGAGGATGCTAAATATTGACACTCACTCCTAATTGTTTGCTTTCACTAATTTAACTGACACATTTCTTGATATTTTTGGCAGAAATGTAATGTTTTATTTCAAATTAAGACATGTTGTGCAAAGGCAGATGTACCAAAACACACCCAAATCATGACCCCTTTTTCCATGATTAATAGATGTGATGAGGTTTTGACACAGAAATGCATCATTTAAAGCAAGAAAAAGTTCAATTTTGGTCTCAGCTATCCACAGAAAATGTTTCCATCAGTCTTCAAGCACACAAGCATGATCAGGAAACTTACACAATTTCCTGTTTTGTAGACTAGCCAATCACTGCACAACTCAATAGTTAAAAGAAGTTTGTTAAAGAAAAATCTATTTTTTAAGCTAACACATTCTTCTATTTACTCTGCCCAGATATCAGTATGTGCTTGGGGAGAAAACCTGGATTGAGTACTGGCCCACCACTGAAGAGTGCATAACTCAAGAACACCGGGCTAGATGTGTTGGATTGGAGAGCCTGGTAGAGAAGCAAGAACGGTTTGGGTGTCTTTTGAAGTGATATGGAGCAGTACAAAATGCTGCTTTCAACTGTCTTTATTAGGCATTTTTCTTGATGTGTGAGTAATGAATGAATATGTGTTCTGATCACAAGATCATTTGTAATTAACTGGCAAAATGAAAAACAAACCTGAAAGCAAATAAATTGTGGGACAAACCATGTGAAAGTGTTTTATTTTCTTCTCAGATGGTGGGTGGTGAGTGAAATTGTCCATTGTGATGAGTAAACAGGGGGTAATAACAAAGATAAGGAGCCCTGAAATTAGATTTCTTTTTCTAAACACCTTTTTGGATCTATTTTTTGTTGTCCATTTTACTTCCGCAGGAACTGTTGATGTAGTTCAATGGTCACATTTTTTGGTTTTTGGTTTTTTTATAGCAAGTGTAATATTCAACATGAAAGGATGGAAGTAGATGTGTCACAAGAAGATAATACATTGTCAGAAAAATGTTTCTGCAGTTAAAAATGCTGGATTGTAACATAATCTATGAACAAACTTCAGTGACCTCAGCTTGACTAGACACTGCCAGGGCCGCTGCAATATCTTAACCAAAAAGCACATCCAGTCACTCTCATTTCACAGATGTCCCCCTGCTTTTTCAATTAAGGTTTGAGCTTGGATCATATTCTACACAATTACATCTTTCTGTCTTCCCTTTTTTTCCCCCTCTAATGCCATCTGTCTTTTAAATAATTTCAAAGACAGGGTATAGCTACGTCTTCTACCCTCTTCCAACATAAATTTGGAGTTAACATTCACACAGTTCTGCAAATATAACTCCATGTAAGTGTTTTGGTTGTTGATTACATTGCCGTATATCAGTTTAGGAAATAAACACTTTATGTTCCAAAGATTGTGTATCGCGTGCATTTGATTGCACGTTTGACAGTTTTGTTGGTTGTGTAGCTTATTTGAAAACCACCTGAAATGCTTATGAGCTGTTATGTTAGATGTTTGTTAGAGGGAAATCTAACACAGTGAGGCAGTTGCCGTTGTTTTACATAAAAGATTTGACACATCTAATCAAAAGAAAGAGGCTTGTTTAACATGTATTTGGGGAGTTTGGAATACTCTTACAGGAAATTACTCATCAGATTTTCACATTGTAATTTTTAAATGAGGGTCAGAAATTGCGCACTTCAGCACAAATGTGGGAAATCCAAGAACAACCCGTCCAGAAGACTATTCACTGATCCAGTGACTGATCTGAGGAACAAGCCTAAAGAGAGGTAGAGCGTGAGTGCAGAAGAAGGGAGGTGCAGGGATTAAAAAGCAGAGCACAGCCGACCCATAGTATAACAGTGAGTATGGGAACAGAAAGAAGAATGAAGCTGCAGCTGCTCTCCTCACTGGCCTTTATGTCCTTGATGTCTCTGGTTAATGGGTCTTCAGTGTAAGTACCCTTTCTTTGTAATCTTTGAATATCTGGAGGAAAAGAGGAATTGAATCCCAATTTTTACATTTTGTCATTTTTATACTGTTGTTGCTCCCTCAGAACAAAAGTGAAGACAAGAAAAAAAAGATAAACAAAGTCAAACCAGAGCATGCTTACAGCTATTTGTATGTTTTTTTGCAACATGGGATCACTTCATAGTTTTTTTGCTTTTTTTTAAGTGAAGTTGACAGTGTGAGTCACCATGAAAAAGCCGAGACACACCTGCATTCTGCTTGACACCAGGATTAATTCAAACTTCTGTCTTTAACATGTTTTTGATGGAAGTGATTGATATCTTTCAAATGAATACTTTTTTCATACTCCTTTAATGCTCATACCAACTCTTGTGTATTCAATTTCCCACCTTGTTCTCTGTGAATTACCCATTTGTGAGAAAAAGCCTTGGGGTTTAGAAAATACAAATACCTCTGTAGTGAAATAATGATTATTCATTACAATAACAGTTTTTTTATATATATAAATTTGTGTATATGTGTATATATCTTATTTTGAATGTGTGATCACCAACATTGTCCAGTGTGTGAGTAGAATATGTTCTTTGCAGTAGCCAGTTAACCACAGTGATGATGAAATGTCATATTTATTCAGAGTTGGATGGTAGTCAAGACAGTTAATGGTTGACTAATTGTGTGCGCCATTCTTTTTTATGCAGAAGATCAGAAAAATTAGTTTTTTGACAAATTAGATAAGCAGAAGCTCTTGGAGCTTCAAGTTTTTTTTACCAGTAGGTCAGTGTGTGCTTCTTCCTACCCGGAGACCTTAATTTTCTTGTCCTCTTACCACTGCTTTGTAGGATGGTTATGTCTGCTCCCAACCTGCTGCGGGTGGGAAATGCAGAAAACATTTTTGTGGAATGTCAGTACTGCCCTGATGACACCAAACTCAGGGTTGAAATCATCGTAATGAGCTATCCGACAAAATCCAAAAAGCTTTCATCCACATCTTTGGATCTGACGAGTGAAAACAGTTTTCAAGCATTTGGGCAAATTAAGGTAATCTACAAAATACTGAGCTGTGTTTGTTGCTGTAGCTTGGCTCTCAGAACTGCAGAACCAAGTCTTTGTGGGATCCATCTCTGCAAGGAACAACATGAGGGCCAATTTTCATATTTCTGTTATGTTGGTGCTGATATTGGTTTCAGATCCCGGGGGAAGACTTTAGTCAACATTCCAATACGAAAGAGTATGTTTACCTGCAAGCTCACTTCCCCGATGTAATACTAGAAAAAACTGTCTTGGTGTCATTTCACACTGGATATTTCTTCATCCAGACAGACAAGACCCTCTACACACCCAATAGCAAGGGTGAGTGCCATAAACCATCACTTCTCCATTAAAACATTAAGAACATTTTATGCAGGACGCATGAAATGTTCTTCTGTTGAGATATTCGACACTTGAACACCCAGTTCAAGTTCTTTGTGACTTGAAATAGAGGTGTTTCATCTGTCTGTGTTTTTTATCCAATGCATTTCACTATCTCTTGGTTATCAATATTCAACGTGATACAATTAGTAATTCTTGGCCGATTTTAAATTGAAAATTACGATTTTTACTATTTCACGAAAAAGCTGGAAAAATGTCAGAAGATACCAAGCCGCTGTCAACTTTAAGGCAACAGTACCTCTATCAAAAATTTGTTGCACGGCGAAAAAAGGTTTTGACAATGAGGAAGTTGGTTGATTGTATTGGTCAGTCACACGACTAAGAGCTATTCTGAGAGTGTCTCTTTTTTAGTCTTTACTGTTTTAATCTAATATTGTCAGATTAAACAAGAGGCTGGATGAAAAAAAACAAGAACAATTTAGAAAAGGCTAATCTTCCCACGACTCGAGCAAGAACGTTTCCAGCGAGAATATTTCTTTCAGTCTATTACAGGATATTTGCGCTGACACCCAGCATGGAGCCTGTGGACAGGAACAACAGGACGGACTTGGACACTGCTATTGCCATTGAGTTTGTGGTAAAGCTTTTGATGATTTTTATCTCAAATATTTTAGAAATGTGTACTTATTTCATTCCTGTCTCTAATTCCATTACAAAAAAAGAGGGATTATCATGCTTATCAATAAATGTTTGAACTTTTCAGATCTTACCTTAATGTTTTAAGGTGATCATTTCATATGTCTTAAGACTTCAAGTATTCAAGTATTACTCAACTCTGTCATTTCAGACTCCTGATGGCATCATTTTACCACTTGAACCAGTGTCTTTGAGGTCAGGGATGTACTCTGGACACTTCCAACTTCCTGAAATTGTTGTGTAAGTGTATGTATGTGCTTTCCTCTTCTCTCAGCACTATTGTTCTTCACTGTGTTTGGAGTACAGAGCTTTGTCGCATTTGAAAAAAATTTTTGCAGTGTACAAGTCACATTTAGGGCATGTGTACGTGTTTGAATTTTGTAGTTCTGGACTTTGGAAAGTGATGGCACGGTTCCAAAGCAAACCACAAACAAGCTACTCTGCAGAGTTTGAAGTCAAAGACTATGGTGAGTTTAACCTGAGGTCTGTTCATCTATGAACCTGTTATCAGAACATTTGCAATGACCTCAATCAAAAATCTTTCAGTACTTCCCACTTTTGAGGTTAAACTCATGCATCGAGGCTCTTTCTTCTTCGTGGACACTCAAGAGCTCAGCATTGACATCAAAGCTACGTATGTCAAATATATTTAGTCCGAGGATCGATCCGGGTTATGTTTTATGTTTTGATATTATTCATGAATAAACAAAACATGTCTCTGTCGCTTTAGATATCTGTTTGGAGAGCCAGTGCACGGATCTGCCTATGGTGTATTTGGAGTTCAGCATGAAAATCAGAGGAGAAGTCTTCCTAGCTCACTTCAGAGAGTGGTGGTACATACTTCTACAATTCTTTATCGATTTTGGTCGGAGCAGTTGATCTTCACATATGTTTTTCTTTTCTTGACATATATTAAAATGCCTTTGAAAATGCCTTCTACCTTTGAATGTCTTCAAATGCTCATGAATCTAAAAAAAACCCAGATGGTATTTGATAGGGCATTGTTTTCTGTCACATTAGTTAAAGAATGGAGAAGCAGTCCTAACACTGAAGAAACAACACGTCACACAGACTTTTGAAAACATCACTGATCTTGTGGGGAGCTCCATATATGTGGTCGTCAGTGTGCTAACAGACAACGGTAGGGAGGAAACATGCGTTGTGTGCAGAATGCAATTAAATTAAATTGACATTTGAATAGCGCCTATTTTGATGAAAGTTGATCATTTCATTACCTACGCTTCAGAATATTACTGATTCACAGGACCAGTAATGTTAAAAGTGTACTATATGTTTTGCATGGAAGCTTCATCATATTGATAGTGAGATGCAATGCTTTATTGTTTTTTGTGCAGGAAGTGAGATGGTGGAATCAGAGTTGACAAATATTCAGATAGTCACTTCACCTTACTCCATCCACTTCACAAAAACGCCAAAATATTTCAAACCCGGCATGTCTTTTGATGTTCTGGTAAGACATATTTCATATATTTGCATGCAAAATGACGTATTTAAAGGCTTAATGAGTCCATTTTAAAAAATAAACAATGGCACAGTGGTACATAACGTCAGACAAACGAGCCTTTATCAATCTTTTCAATCATTAGAAGCATCAGTTTGTAAAACTGGGAACTGCACACGTCTTCTTTTCTATTGTTTTTTCAGTAAACTACAGAGTTTTGATTTCGTGAACAGTTGTCTTTCCTTTTTTGCTGCAGATTGAAGTTCTTAATCCTGACGGCACTCCGGCACAAGGTGTTGCAGTGGTGATTGATGTGGGTCAGGTGCAGGGTGTCACTTCAGCCAATGGCCTTGCCAGGCTTTCTATCAATGCAGTGGGAAATGAACACCCACTAACTATCACAGTAAGCAAGGAGACTTGGTGAAGTTGCATTGAGTCTTTCACTTTATGTCTTATCAGATGGTAAGCCAACCTTTTTAAATCAAATGTAGAACGGAATATTTCAGTCTTCGGAGTGAAACACTTCACATACAGTGGATGGTATTACCTCAGACTCCTGTGTCATCATTTATTACCACAGTATGTCTTTAAAAACAATGCATGACGCTCAATAAGGTCAACTTACATTATGTTAAACTTCACTTTTGCTGCAAAAGGCAGGCTCCTATGTATACTGCTTGAGGTAACTCTTTGGAAATGAACATGTGTTTAATTATAGGCAAAGACCAATGATCCACATGTCTCATCTGAAAGGCAAGCATCCGCCAGCATGACAGCTCTCCCATACACCTCCAAGAGCAACAGTTACATCCAGATAGGTGCGTATGTGCTGAAGTGTCCCATTGTCATGTCAAAACATACACATCTGCTAGATCGATTGAGATGAACTGTGTGTCCCTACAGGGGTGGATGCAGCTGAAGTAAGAGTAGGTGAAAACATGAAAGTCAACCTGTACTTCAACAGGCAAGATAGTGCGCAACTGGATATCACACACCTGGTGAGCGACCCCATGACACACGTGTGCCTCCAAATGTTTATTCCACTAAATATGTGCGTCACAATGTTGCATATCTTTTCTGCATATCTGTTTTTTAGATCTTGAGCAGAGGTCAGTTGGTGAAATACGGTCATTTTAAGACAAACGGACAAGCTTTGATAACCCTGATTATCACTGTTACCAAAGAGATGCTGCCATCATTCCGTATTATAGCCTACTATCATTTAAATGATAATGAAGTTGTGTCAGACTCCATTTGGGTGGACGTGAAAGACGCCTGCTTGGGCTCGGTGAGACACAAAACAACGAGCAGGCAAAGTGAAAGTCAGCAAGCTGCATGCATGCGCAACTGCTCTCTTTACCGATACGATCCAGTTCATTTGTACTAATCTGCTTTCATCTTCTATAAGCTAACGTTAGAGAAATCAAAGCCTTTGCCATTCTATGAGCCAAGCAAGATGTTCAGTCTCAAAGTCACAGGAGACCCAGAGGCCACAGTGGGACTGGTTGCAGTCGACAAAGGCGTCTTCATCCTGAACAAAGGGCAGCGCCTCACTCAGAAAAAGGTTCTGTGACGTCTTCTCATCTCACATCCGATGATTTGATACAATGTTCTGTCAAATCTGTGTGTAGGATTTGTTGATAGTGTGATAAGGCAATGTCAAAACTGTTACTGTTCAGTTATTTTGTCCATGCTGATTTAATTGATTTTATGATTTTTTTTTCTTGGCCTGCTTATTCCTATTTATTTATATACAGGAACAAGCGTGTATTTATACACATATATTTATTTCTGCATCATTTTGCCTCACATTATATTGATCAATTGAAGTTAAAAAATTTTTTTTTTTCCTTCACTTTTATTCTCATTTCAAAGTACAGTTTATAATCAAATTTTCAAATGAATTCAGTTTATAGAGGTATTTCACTGACCAAACAGTATTGTCAATACTCACATACTCACTGAAATAGTACAGCAGAATGTAATACTGTCCTATATCAAAATCACACTACTGTGATATTTGTTTAAGATTTCTCTTGGTAATAATATTATATGTGTTCCGATGATTCTATGCTGCACAGGTTTGGGACACCGTAGAGAAATATGACACAGGGTGCACACCTGGTGGAGGGAAGGACGGTTTGGGTGTGTTCTACGATGCCGGGCTGCTGTTTGAGTCCAACACAGCTTCTGGGACTCCAGACAGACAAGGTGGAAATCCTTCCCACTCCTGTTTCATGAACTGCCCTGCAACTACCAATACATTTTGCAAATATAATCGTTTAAACAAAAAAAAACTACATAAATACTGATACTGTTATTCATCATAATGGAAAGAAACCATAAAGGATGTTAACCTGATCTTGCTTGGCAAGACAAGAATGGACAGCAACTTTCTTTCTCAAACAAAGAAAGCGAATCTAAACCAGCTCCTCTAGAGGGGTCATTTGTTTTTGATAATTAGATCAACTGATCCATTCTGACTCGAGCTTTAAGAACTAAATAAAGATTTACAGTTCTCCCGGTTTGTCGCCTGTGTTTCAGAGATTAAATGTCCGGCCCCCAGCAGGAGAAAGCGAACCACTGCGATGATGAATTTCACGACCAGCTTGTGTAAGAGCCACAGAGAGGATTGATTTCTGCGTTTGTATTACCTGGGCAGGTGTAAACTGTGCATGATGGGATATTATTGATCTTTGACAAACATTCATTAAAAAAAAAGGAAAATGTAAAACCCTCAAATGTACTCTGGTGACGCAAGTAAGAGTCGTTATCCAGCAATGAAGAATTTCTACTGGTTAGATCATGGCACAACTATTCTGTCCTGTTTTGCTTAACTGCTTACAGATAATTGATTGACCAAAATAACTGCCTCTATGTTGTAAGCAGAATTATTTTCAGATTCAGCTTTGTTCTGGGTCTTATTATATTTCCCGTTTGGGGCGTGTGTCAGACCAATCTTCAAAATCCCCTGAAGTCAACACTGAACACTGAAGTCAAGTTCTTCGGTGTTTTTGCCCCTTAAATCTTCTTTTGCCTTTTCTTTCCAGTGAGTCGATATGATACCGAGCTCCAGCGCGACTGCTGTTTGGACGGCCTGAGGGACACGCCTATTTCGTACGCCTGTGAGCGGCGCAGCGAGTACATATTGGACGGTGCAGCCTGCATTGAGGCCTTCCTGCGCTGCTGCACGGAGATGGAGAAACAGCAGGCTGAGAAGAGGAAAGAGAGCCTCCTGCTGGGCCGCAGTAAGACATGGGAGCAAGGGATGCCGTCCGGGTTGTTCGTGGCCCTCGTCGCTGGCCTAAAGCTATCAAGTTTGAACCTCAGGTGACGCAGATGACAGCAGCTACATGGACAGCAATGAAATTATTTCCCGCACCAAGTTCCCTGAAAGTTGGTTGTGGTCAGACATCAAGTTGCCCGCTTGCCCTGAAACCAAGAGGAGCTGGTGAGTCAGTTGAGCCCATTGTAAATGAAAACACGCGTGATTATGTGCAGAGACGTTGGCCTTTCTTTTTTTTTCGTTTCAGTGGAACCACATCAGTTACGAAAAATTTTCCTTTGCAAGATGCAATCACGACGTGGCAGTTCATTGGCGTTGGTCTGTCAAGGACCCATGGTGGGAATGAAATTAAATCAGAAAAATACATTTCCAGATTATGACTTATTGTACATTTGAGCCAGGCTAGTCTCCCGTATTCTTAACTATTTTAGTGGAGTCACGTTTTTTTTCCTCTTCTCTCTGTTCTTTATTGAGGCATCTGTGTGGCCGACCCATTAGAGATAATTGTCCGAAAGGATTTCTTTGTTGATCTAAAGCTCCCCTACTCATCTGTCCGCGGAGAGCAGCTGGAAATAAAAGCAGTCCTTCATAACTATGACGTAAATCCCGCCACTGTAAGTTGATAATATGGGCTTTTAGGGTCTTTAGACATTGCTATTTAACACTCTAAAGCCTGATCCAAGAAAAAATAGAGAGATTTTTTTTTTGTTTGAAGTCTTTATTTGGCCCTTTGACAAATTTAAAGAAAATAAACAGAAATTACTTTTGAATATTCATAATTTATTACCGTGTGAAAAGACAAAATCGTTGTCGTGTAGTCTTCCGCCCGCTGTTATCAGGTATATCAGATTGTGCCAACAGGGTTTTGAGCAAAGTTTATACCATTAAATCCAAAAGCAAAAGTGGAAAATATCCAAATGAATCCATTAAAGACATTACTGCACAGTAATGACAAAAATCTCCATGAATGCATCTTATCTCCTTTTCAACCTTGTTTTTAGGTTCGTGTGGATCTAATGGAGGCGGCAGATGTGTGCAGCGCTGCTTCCAAGCGTGGGAAATTCCGCCAGGAAGTCAAACTAGGACCAAAAACCACACGGTCCATTCCCTTTGTTATTATCCCCATGAAAGAAGGAGTGTTCCCTATTGAGGTCAAAGCATCTGTTTTGAATGCACCAGTCAGTGACGGAGTCGTGAAGATGCTTCGAGTGCTGGTAAGAAGAACTGACTGTTTACAAGTGACCTCATCTTTTTCAGTCTGTTTAAGATGAAAGAGCCAGGAGCTGCCTCTGCTGCAACTCTGGATATTTTCAAGGCCCCGAGGAGGACTGAACAGATTCAACTGTTATGCGTTGGAATAGAATTAAATTGAAATAGTGACAATATATTTGCGCTGCTTCACGTGGGGTTGTTTTTCATCACTGCTGTTTTTTCCAGCCTGAAGGCCAATTGATAAAGTATCACCAGACTATAACTTTGGACCCTGACAAAAGAGGTGTAGGTGAGTTTACCTGTTCAAAAGCAGTGCGTGATTTAAAAAGGCCTCTCCGTAGTTGTAATTCACTGCAGATTAAATCTAATTTGCTGTGGTTCGTCTTCCCAACAGTACATCTGGGATACACCCTCTAGATATTCATTAACCAGGCTGTGTTACAGATTGTGAGGCAAAGGCAGTGGAGGAGACAGAGACAGTTCATATAGACCACTTACACTGACATCTGTGCTAACAGCTGGATGGACAGTAGGTGGCTATCTGAGCAGCAAACACATCTTGTTTTGTTTACACGGCTTATTGGTTCATGGTTCTTATGCACATAGTAAGCATGACAGAAGTTAACAGATCCCATTAAGGATTCAGCTGGTACTTTTTCGCTTTCACCACAGTGTTTACAGCTGTTCACCATTGTCATGGCCCTGGCAGATCCAGGAGGATGAACAGCTCCTTCTCACTGCTTTAAGGGCTCTGGCATTTATATATATATATACTCTACATAACTCGTCTTTAATATCTCTCTTTCTTTATGATTAGTCTCATGTGACAAAATGCCACATGCAAAAGCTATGTGTAAAAACCTGCTCTTTCTTGATTTAGATGGCAAACAAGTGGAGCACATCAACAGCAGAATTCCTCTATTGAACATCCTTCCAAACACACCAACCAGCACCCAGGTCTTAGTGACAGGTAAGACATAATTGTAGGTGCTCTTCTTGGTTTGCAAAGTCAAAGTGTCCAACTCGTGGTGTGAACACTTGCAGGGAGGCAGCCTGGAGAACCGCTGAGGAACGCTATAGGCGGGGAATCAATGAGCAGGCTGATCTACCAGCCCTCTGGCTGTGGAGAGGAAAACATGATCCACATGACCCTGCCTGTCATTGCGGTCACATATTTGGACAAAACGAAAGAGTGGGAATCCGTGGGCATCAAAAGACGCGATGTAGCCCTGCAACACATAAGGACTGGTGGGTTACATTACTGGATTTTTCTGTACAGACGGCCCAGATTTACCTCCCGATTACTAGCGCACTGCAGATATTAAGCTCACGACCTTTGAAAAGTGCTTTTTGTCGACCACATGACTAAAAAAGACCCACTCACACACGTAGCCTCAGGATTCGATTGAGAACACACGCTGCTGTCAATGAAAGGGTTATCGTTTTACTTAGGATACAGGAACCAACTTGCCTACCGTAAAAAAGATGGGTCCTATGCCGGATATACTGATCACCAAAGCAGCACCTGGTGAGGCAACCGAGCTGCATCTGCAAAGGACTCAAGTTGACATTGAAAATGAAACTAAACTACCACACTGTCTCATCTTCTCCACAAGGCTGACCGCTTATGTTGTCAAAGTGTTCGCCATGGCCAATCATCTGGTTGCCGTGCAACGCAAGGACATCTGCGACTCTGTCAGGTTTCTCATCCTCAGCACCCAGCAAGCGGACGGGCAGTTTGTCGAAGTCGGAAGAGTCTCCCACCAGGAGATGACAGTAGGCAATCCCATTACATCGACATAAAATCGTCCTTCTGCCGATAAACCAAGGACTGAGGCGCAGTGAAAAGCACCCTTTAAAAAAGAAATCATGTTTGTGCTTGTGCGTGTGCAGGGTAATGTCTTTGGCTCGGATTCAGATGTCTCCATGACGGCCTTTTGCCTCATTGCCATTCAGGAGTCTCGCAAGACCTGTGAAACCACCCTCAGTGTGAGAAACCTTTTTTTGTTTCATTCGTCTGTTAAATTTCTCAAACTTCAGGTCTCTGCGTTTCTGAATGTAAGAAAATAGGCCAAAGTTCCGATGTCACAGGATCGAATGATACCGCGATTTTGATAAATGTTCTGTATTAAAATATTAATTTCGACAACGACCCAGAGTTAGCAGTTATCTGTGTACTAGAGAGATTCTTGTGTGCAAGGGAAATACATATTAATCTAAACTGTCATGTGTTCATATATGAGAAACTGCACGTCAGTTTTGGGGTTGACTGGATTTTAGCGGGTTGCCCGGGTAGCTCTAAAACACTATCACTCATTTCAGTGTTAAACCAGTGTCCTGTCATTGTGTTCAGAGTTTATCGGACAGCTTGGACAAAGCAGTGGCCTACCTGGAGAAGCGCCTGCCGAGTTTGGTCAATCCCTACGCCGTGGCGATGACATCATATGCCCTGGCCAATGAAAACAAAATGAACCTGGAGGTCCTCCATGATTTCTCTTCTCCAGGTGAAGTGGCACAGGGACAGTTTCTATTTATTATTAGTGCTGAAAAACATTCAGATCTCAGTGTCCATTTTTATGATATAAGAACTACATTTTGGCTCAAAGGTAGCAAATTAACAATGTCTATTTGATTCAAAATGCTCCGAGGAAAAAAAAAACTGACTCAGATTTAACTAAATCTGAGTCACTTTTTGTTTAAAATAAAACAATATTAGCTGTGGCATCTCTTTAGATGTATGCACGGTGCTAAAATCACAAATAAAATCTGGGAGGCAGGCATAGGTGCAACACATAAGGACTTGAATTAGCATCCACACAAGCTAAAAATCTTTCCAGTTGAGGAAACATTTCACGTGATGCTTGGAATTTATTTCTATGCCACAAGAAAGAATCAGCAAAAGGCAACACAGATCTATTACACAACCCAGGAGGTGCTGGTTGAATGGTTTTAGCCACTGAAGCTTTCTTGGGGAACATTGTTTTTTTGCTTTTTTAAAGAATCACTCATTTTAAAAACTTTTCCTGGACAAAGTGTCCTTTTTCAAGCAAGAATCTTTTGGAAGTGGGATCACTTTCAGCTTTTTCTGTGTTTCCAGCCAGCATTCCACTTCTAACTTCACAATTTGTCCTTCTACTGTACCTTCATAATGGTTCTAGAAAGGTCTTTCAAAATGTGTTTGTGTCCCCCCAGACTTATCCCACTGGCCTGTCCCGATGGGACGCACTCACACGCTGGAGGCCACAGCATATGCTCTCCTGGCTCTGGTCAAAAACAAGGTGAGCCATTGAGTCTTTTCTGAGTCTCACCATGACTATCCGCTTTCATCTCCCACAGGAAGTGATGTTCATAGTTCCATGCCTCAGAATCATGGGTACTAAATTCCCCCTTATGTCTGTTAAATGAAGGCCTATAAAGACGCTGCGCCCGTTGTGAGGTGGTTCAACAAACAGCAAAGAGAGAGCGGAGGCTTTGGATCAACTCAGGTAAAAACCCTTTTTGGCGTTTTGGGAGCAAATCGGAGGCAGCCAGGGCTAAACTCTTGTTCATAGCTGTTCTATACAGGCCACCATGACAGTGTACCAGGCTGTGGCCGAATACTGGGCCAGTGACAAAGATTCCGACTATAACCTTAAAGTGGACGTCAAGCTGCCCGGCAGGTTGAAGCTAGACAAGTACAACTTTAACAGAGGGAACCACCATGCCACACGAACATCTCGGGTGAGAACACGAAACTGTCATTCTCACTCGCAGTTGATCCTTTTTGTTATTTTTCATGTTTTGTTTCGTTTAGTTTTTTTGGTTTTGTTTTTTCCTGTGTGCTACTGACCTCTGTGTGTATGCCTTTGTGTTTTAATCCCCACAGTTCCATCACGTAAACCAGAACGTGACTGTAACGGCATATGGTCCCGGAGAGGCAACCGTGACTGTAAGCCGAACCAAACTCAGTTGTACACGTGTGATCCTAATTTTCTATAGATTTCATAAAGCTTAAGTATGTTTTTGTTCATGGGATAGATGGTGTCACTGTATTACACCTTGCCTAAAGAAAAGGACAGCGACTGTCAGAGGTTTAACTTATCAGTGGAGCTCATTCCAGGTTTGGCCGTATTTTGTCGTATCTTTTGTGTTTAAGATAACATTGACAAGCCTCTTTTTTTTTAACCCATATTCTTTTATTTTTCTCTCCAGAGAAAATGAGTGAAGATGAGAAGATATACAAGCTGAAAATAGTTGTTTTGTAAGTACAAAAAAAAGAATCTCACACATTCCAGCTTAATTGTTTCCATCAATTTGTCCACTCTGTTTTTAAAGTATATCTCTATGCATTTTTAAACAATATCTATGATTATTGTTTTCAAATTTTATCATCGTTTTTTTTTTTTATGGAGACACCTGCTAAAATTGTTTTTTTCATCTATAGTTTTCCATGCATTACTGATTACTTATTCTTTCCATTCTGTGTTTGCAGATATAAGAACAGACATCGTGATGCAACCGTGTCAGTTTTGGATGTTGGCTTGCTGACTGGTTTCACCGTGAACACAAAAGACCTTAACCTGGTAAAACATGAGCTCAAATGCTCAAATGTTGGTTCATCGATACTTTATATCAGTGAAGCTAAGCTTCTTTTTGGACCCCAGTTCTGAGCATCACTGTACGTTTGTATGTAGCTGTCTAAAGGCCGTGCCCGTACCATTGCCAAATACAAGGAAAACAACAGTGAGTCAGAAAGAAGCTCCATCATTATCTACCTGGACAAGGTGAGGAACCAGTTATGAAACTGTTCCTCCCCTCAGACCTCCCATTTGTCTGCTTCTTGATCACTTTGCTTTATGTGTCTCTTTGTATCACTGCAGGTTTCCCACACACAGCCAGAGGAGGTCACTTTTAGGGTCCATCAGAAGCTGAAAGTTGGCCTCTTACAACCAGCGGCTGTATCAGTGTATGAATATAACCAACAACATGGTAACCGTGGCTCCCAAAGACACTTTGGATCATTCTGCTCGCATGAGTCTCATTTGAAATGTTTGTTGCTCTGTAACATTAAAGGATTCTTTATAGCTGACAGAGTTTGTGGCATTTGGTACAGGAGTGTGTTTTACTATTTCAAAAGTATAAACTATCCGACAGGAAGATGATGACGATATCTTAATCTCACAATGCAGAAGCATCCTGTGTGAAGTTCTACCATCCAGAGAGGAAAGCTGGCCATCTGCTGCGTCTTTGTAGGAATGATGAATGCACATGTGCTGAAGGTATTCCGCTCATCATTTTTGCAGTCCGCAACCATTTGTTAACCCTGAGATATTACTGATACTCGAACAAGATCTGAATCACGTCAATGTAAAAAAGTTTCTACACCACCCCTGTCTCTTTATGCACTGGCCTTTTTTGTTTACAGGCATTCAAATCTGTTCCTTTTTGTACATTTTTGTGAAAAATGAACCCTTTTTCACTTCTGGAGTTTCACATATCAGGAGATACTGAAGTTAAAAAAAAAATCATGGCATCCCTTGTTTCCCAAAACTAAGTCACTAAGTCAAAGAGGGGCTGTGAAAATCATGGAAAAAACATAATGCTAATCAAATGCATTGGATTAATTTACCACTGTTGGGTGTGAAAATCTCTATAAAAGCAGATGTTTTAAAAGTTTGCTTGTTTTGAGCATTCATATTTGAGTTAATACAACATCAAGGGAGAGAGACCTCTCCAGGAGCATTATTAGACCATTTCCAAGCTACTTGGATACACAAGAAGATACTATTGGCATATAGACACATTTCAGGGTATCTGATATTGTTCTCAGTACTGGATTTCCCAAAATTGTGTTTTTGCAAAAGTCAGATCAAGCAAAATATCGCTGGATTCAACAAGTTGAACTTTTTTTGGAGGGATTTCCAGGAAAATTCTTTCATCTCTCATGGTGTTTTGGGTTTGCATTACCCAGGACCTGGAATGATGTCATTTGGCGAGATGAGAAAAGTGGATCAGTTATTGAGTCCACCATCAATTGTTCTATTTACATAATTATTCTACATTGAGGTGATCTGTCTCAGAACTAAAGTTTGAACAAGATATATTCAAACAAAAACAACCAAACACCCACTTCACAAAAGAAAATTTAAATTTGTGAAAGATGGATTAGATTGAATAGAACATGTTTAAGATTTCAAATATGCACAAAGTTTGTAAGCTTGCAATGCCCCAAATTAACGTCTAGACCAAAATTCGATTGTAAATCTGTGGTGGGGCACAGAGAGGTTTTGACATAAACTCAACTGAGTCTAACCATTTTAATTTCACAGTGTTTTCACAGTGTTTTAATTGGGACGCGTTTGTCTGTCAGTTCTCACCTCATGTGTACTGTGTGTTTCCAGAGAACTGTAGCATGCAGCTAAGGGGTCAAATTAACAACAATAATCGTTCAGCCAAGGTTTGCGAAACGCATCAGACCAGCAGAACAGATTTTGGTAAGAGCTTGTGCATGTTGTTTTCTAAACGTTAAATATGCCCTAAAAGGAAGCAAGACAGATAACTGTAAATGATGTGTCCTCAGCGTACAAAGTGAGACTGGAAGAGTTCACAGATGGTTTGTCAACTGATGTTTACACGGTGGAAGTGCTCAGTATCATCAAAGAGGGTAGGTTCAATTCGAAGCTTTTAAACCATGTTTGCCTTTTTCTCCTCAAATGTCTAAATTGAATGTCTCACTCTGTTTGATTTCAACTGACCTCTGACACAGCTTTTTTGGCTTTTTTTACAACGACCTGACTCAGAATGAGCCAAAGTTGTTTTTCCGAATTCATATTTACATACAAATAAATTCAATTACAATAACATATTTTATTTATTAAAGCTTTTTACTTACGTCGCTTGTCACTTAGAGTTTAATTACATTGCTTGCAATAACATTTGACAAAGGATATCATTCATTAAGTCAAATGATGCTCTGACATGCAGCAATAGGAAATTAGGCAACCAAAAAAAATTGTTGACAAAACTGTATATTTTTGATCATAGGAAATTCAGATGTGGGTCCGCTGGGAAAACAACGTATTTTCCTCAGTTACCGGCACTGCAGAGAAGCTTTAGATCTTGGTGTAGGCAAAACTTACCTCATCATGGGCACTTCCAAAGATATCTACACAGACGCGAAGAGTCAGTCGTAAGTTTATTTTTGTCTTTGTTAAATGTGTTCACTGTTGCCCCAATAATGTAACTATTGAAGCACTTCAGCTGTTTTTTTTTCTACTTTCTGTATGCATATCAGCTACCAGTACGTGCTTGGTGAAAGGACTTGGATCGAGTACTGGCCCACAGAAAAGGAGTGTGCAACTGAAGATCACAAACTTACCTGTGACGGTTTAGATCAAATGGTTGAGCAGCACAAGCTCTACGGATGTCGAGATTAGTGTGAAAGAAGCATACATTTTTATTTTAAATTCAGTGTCCAATAGACTACACAGTTTTATTGGCGCACTAATATTCACTATATGCAGAGATAAAAGGACTAATCATACCCATAACCAAATAAACTACGATAAACATGAAACATTTCCCCAGTAATGATATCTCTTAGTAGATGTTTGTTAAACAATCCATGTGTGGGTTTTTTTTTCATAACTTATTTTATTTTTAGCAGGTAGAGAATAAACATATACATGGATAAGGCTTTAACAAGATACAGTTTGTCTGTTCTGGTGTACCTACTGTAGTTTGAAAATGTACCACTGGGGGGCGTAACATGCAAAGCTACTGTATGTTAAGCAGCGCAGAAGAAGAAAAGAGTGACGCACTTCCTCTAACCAAGCCGCGGTTGGAGCTTCTTGCTGTTCTCGGAGAATAAAAGGATCAAACTTTTGCTTCTACCATTGCACCCCGACAGTCTCACCGCGTGCTAGTCAGCCTTTGTGTAAAAAGATATTAAGTGTTCGGTGACGCGTCTAACTTTGTCCCCTCAAAGAAAACGTTTTTTTTGGTTTTTACAAAATTCTGCTATGGCTAAGGTCCAAGTGTTAAATGTTGCTGTGCTGGACAACCCGAGCCCATTTGGAAACCCGTTTCAATTTGAAATAACGTTTGAATGTATGGAGGATTTGCCGGAAGGTAGGTATTATTTTGCCTGCTAAAAAATAATGCAAGTTAATCGTTTCTGTATGTGTAAGCTATATAAACGCTCTTTACTACAGACGCTGTGGATATTTGTGTAGAACAATGTGATAATTTGCAATACACGTTTGATATTTTTGCTTGAAGGTAATTGTTTTTAATGAATAGGGATATTTCATTTGACAAGTTGTTGAAAATTGGCGCTGGCGCGTTTGTGGTTTTAGACCCGCCTTAAGCGTGCAGTGATTGGCTCCAAGCCTCTTACGTCATTTTTTCGAAAGAAGGTGATTAGTTTATTTTATGTTGGTGTGGAGACAAAATCAATCAGTTACCGCGAACCCCAGGGAGACCATACAGGGAAGTAAGTGTTACAATAGTGTTTTCTAATTGTCAAAGGTGTGAGGTGTAGATGGGTTGAGTTTATTTTCTCTGCAAAGAAAGAACCCCATTAACTAAAACTGCACCCTATCCATTATAGAACAACATATTTTGTCCGATTGTAAGCAGACAAGTCATTTGGGTTTGGTGGCTATTTTCTTTTCTTCATTTTTTTGTTCTCTTTGCTTGTATTTAGATTTGGAATGGAAGATCATCTATGTGGGTTCGGCTGAAAGTGAGGAATACGACCAGGTTCTGGACTCCGTTTTAGTTGGCCCTGTACCAGCAGGCAGACACATGTTTGTGTTTCAGGTTAGTGCTCTGAATGACCACTATGGGATGATTTTATTTTTTATACTTGCTATTAATTTATATAATTTTTTGTGGATATTTGTTTTTTTCCCCCAATGCCTTTTAGGCTGATGCTCCCAACACAGGGCTGATTCCAGAGAGCGATGCTGTAGGGGTCACTGTGGTACTGATAACCTGCACCTATCGCGGACAAGAATTCATCCGCATTGGTTACTACGTCAACAACGAATACACAGACCCAGAACTACGAGAAAATCCGCCGTTGAAACCGGACTACTCTCAGGTAACATGAGCACAGGTGCAGAGGTGGTTGTTAACTGTCAGACTACAGTGCATGTGAGCCAATCAGAGCTGATCCTGTTCTCTGGAAGAGTTGTGGATGGCTTAAAGGTGAAGCACCACATGTGGGCCATACTTCAGGAAAGGCTGCATGCAGAGGCAGTCTTCTGCTGCCCTCTAGTGCTCTGAAATAAATCACCTAAATTGAGAAATTACACAGCAGTGTTTTTGAAGGTTGCTTTTCAGACCCAGTTCCTGTATTAAAACAGTCGCTGTCAGTGTGATCTCAGTATCGGCCAGTCAGGATGCCATGCTGATTCACCTCTGAAGCTATGGACTAAGTGAAACGTTTATAAAATAACATTTTTCTTTAACATGTCTGCCATGCCAAACATTAAGGAAATGTATACGTGTATATTCCAAGAAATTATGAGTCATATATTTGTCCCCTTCATCCTGCAAACATGTCGGATGATATGAGGAGGTTGAATTAGTTTGGCCGCTGTCAAATTTTTTTTACTTTGGAATTGTTTTTGCATCCTGTTAATACAATTCTTTAACTTCATAAAAATATGGTAATTTCCTTGTATAACGGCTATACATTTTCAGGGGCATTAACACATTTGAAAATGAAATTGCTAGGTTTTAATGCTTGGTAGAAAATAGCTTGTAGAACTAATGACCTGGTGGTTAAGACCTTCACCTCCCAGCTAGTGGGGACCTTTCTGTGTGGATTGTACCGGGTACTCAGGCGTCCTCCCACAGTGCAGAAACATTCATGTGTGGCCCTTTGATGGACCAGTGACCTGTCCAGGCTGTACCCTGCCTCTCACCCAGAGACAGCTGGGATAGGCTCCAGCCCCCCCTGTCATCCCTGTTGGATTAAATCATGTAGAAAATGGACAGATGGAAAAAATCTTGATAAGTCTCTGGGACTTTTACACACAAAAAGACTGGTTGATCTGGCTTTATTTGACTTAATGCAGCTGTGAATAAACTTGGAATTTAACTACTCGATGACAAATGATCCGTTTGGGGAAAAAAAGAAAAACAACTAAATAATGCTGATATTATGTTCATCATTGTAGCTCCAAAGGAATATTTTGGCCTCCAATCCCCGCGTCACCCGTTTCCATATCAACTGGGAGGGCTCAGCAGACAAGATGGAAGACAGTGAGAATGTTGACCCCTCACCCAACATCAGTGGGATGCTCCCTCCCTCCTGTATACCTGGAAAGATGCCCCCGCTTGGACTGATGCCAGAGAACTCCATGGACTGCATGTAAGAGTCGTGAAAGTCAAATGATGGACAAATAGCTCTTTGTATCTTTATAATCCCCAACATCTCGACCACACATCTGGAAAAAACAGGCTTTGGGTGTACCGACACGACATGTGGACATTAATAGGACACTGACTCGGAACAATTTAGAAATGTTACGTCGAAGCAGCACACAGAAAACTGAGTTTGCTTGAAAAGTTGTTCCAACTTTAGTTCTTTTTTGTATGATCCCTTGTTTGTTTTTTGTTTTTTTCTTTAACGCATTCATGGATCTGCACGGCCAAAATTGCCTTAATTAATCTGGTCGTTCGCCGATAAAGTTCAACTCGGTTCCTGCAAGTCATGCACTTATTTTTTTTTTTAAATAAACCTATTTTCAGGCTAACTTTGTTCTCGGTGTCAGAAGAAACGGAAGTTGCTCACAATGAAACATTTCATTCCTTCAAAAGCTTTTTCTCAACTGATGCCTGCCTGTGGAGACAAATCTTGGGTTTTACATACGGGCTACGTTCAGAAGGTTGTTGCAAATAGTATCACTGACTGTTAGCTTGACGGGTAATTCTGAATCCAACCATGTAGTTGCACGTTTTGTCCAAGGGTTTGCCGCATTACTCACTAAATGTACTTATCTGTCAAATGTAAGATACTCCTCTTTATATATATAAAAAAAAAAAAACAAGAAGTAAAAGGAGAAATGGATGCTGTGTTGTCAGGTTGTGCGGGTGATGGGTTTGCATACCCATAGTAATGCATACCCATCACCTGTTTGTCTTGAAAATAAGAAGGCATAGTTTCATTTTGTACTCATGATATATTATCTGCCTTAGTATTGTTATAGTGATGGCGTTAATAAAGTTTGTTTTGTTGACCCTGCGTCTCTTCCCATCTCTTAGTCGCTTCTCACGTTGAGCTGCTGATCTGTGGGGAAGAGAGCACGGTTACAGCTCGGCACGTTTGTCTGCATCGGCCCACTCTTTGCCCTCCCCGTTCTGGCTCCTTTCTGTTTTTTTCTTCTTCCAGTTTCATTCATAAAATACAGCAGCATTACTCCACCATTTTCACTCTGGCCTCACGTTGCTAAGCGACTGCAGCACAAAAGGGAGGGGTGGGACCTGTCTGCTCTCATCCATTTTATCGCCGGCGCAGGGAGCAACTCCTCTCTTCCATCCATCTGTTACCTCTGTGTGCTTCTCACGTCTGCACTGTTGAGCACAGTGAATGGTGCGGGAGTGTTGTGCAGATTTATATGTAGATGTAAAACCAATTTGGAGCATCAGCTGCCCTCCATTACAAGGCGGTTGCAATGCCAATCAGCTATAAGTGAACCAGTTCTAAGATCATTTATCAAGCGAACCCCTCATACGTCTCCAGCAGAAACATGTCAAGATTTTCTGCTTAGTGTAGCTCTCCCTTACGGTTCTGAGTTTGAAACTTATCTTCTTACCTTATTTTACCCTGTTTAAGATCAAATGTGATCATGAAACTTGATGCTTATAAAACCAAATATGCCATAAAATGGTTTAAAGAAACATCACTACAGACAGCATAAAGTTTTAGGGTTTATTAGGACTGACATTGAAATTCCACTATGTAGGCCTTCTTCTGACACAAGATGGCTGTTTGGTTGTTGGGATGTCTGATATACAAAAGAAGTTTGTTGCTCATCACTTATGTGATAATGTAGCGAAGATGTTTTTGTTGAATTTGGAATCGTTTCATTTTGATCGTATTTTAAATCAACTCTACCTTTAAGAAAAAGGATTTTAATGATAAGGATATTGAAATGCAAGTGTATGAGAAATTGTACCCTTTGAGGGGGCACAAAATAATTCAGTCGACGGTTCGGCTCAGGTTGTTTTCGTCCAACACCAAATGTAAAAATACAGTAAACTTCCTCTGACTAATTTCTTTCCAAATATCCCTGCAAAATGTTTCGAAAATCCTGCCTCCCAGACCGCGCGGCGCGTGCGTTACATTCTGACCAACATTTCTAAAAATAGCTCGCGGTTGACGTCACTCAGCCAAACGTGTTTCAGTCGCTCGGCGGAGATGAGGCAGGGGTGGGGGGTGGGGGGGGGGGTAAGCTCTCGAAGGGAGGGAGGCTGCATCGCTGTCAGTCGTAGCGGATGGCCAATAGGCATCTTCAAATTCCCCGAGATTCCCACGGTCCCTCTGCATCACGCCAATGGAGTAGAGAAACCAGAAAAAGTGGGCGCGTACGTTGTTGGGAGGAAAATAATCGGTGACGTTTCTCTCACTCCGTCCTGTGTGGGGCTGCGGAACGCTGCCGTTGTTGATGGATCGCCACGGGCCAATCACAGCAGCCCGTTTCACACCGCCGTTATGATGTGGCCAATCCGCAGACCGGGTCGAGCTGCCAATCAATCCTCGGAGTGGGCGGGGCCTCCATTCGGCTGTAGTTCCGTCATCTCGCTTGTCTCAGAGGCTACTGGGGTCCAATCTTGATTTGGGTGAATTGCCGCCGCTATCGAACCCCCACCGAAGAAGGTTTTTTTATTTTATTTTACAGCTGGGTTCGCGAATGCAAAGAGGGAGGCTCTCTCTTGACAACAGAGCATCCCCGCCTCTGGCATCGTTGTATTTTGGACTGGGGATAGGTGGGGAGCCGGGGGGAGGGAGGGGGGGGGCTCGTTTGGCGGGGGCTGCAAGCAGGGGACGAGCGAAGACTGTATCCTCCGTGTCCAGGCCGAGCACGGCCAGCGCGGGTCCGGTGCAACCCTAACGAGACGCCTCCGCGACCGGCTCGCCTCAGACCCTAACTCCGACGCTGGTCAGCGGTTTGTGGGCGAACCCGGGAAGAGCGGAGCCCGCTTAACCGAGCCGTGTCGCCGCATTAGCAGCCGGCAGGCTATCAAAAGAGCGAGACCGTGGAGATAACGCTCCTTCCGAGCCGCTGGATTTAGGAGAACACCCCGCTCACACCTCCCGTCGAGATTAGACCGGCTCCAGGAGGCTGCGGGGCGGCCGAAAGCCACGGATAGCCCGTCGAGAGGTTGTCATCATGGGCAACGCGCCCACGGCCAGAAAGGGCAGCGAGATGGAAAGCGGTGGGTACATCGGCACCTGCTCCGTTATAGCCTCAGCAAAAATGCCCGGAAACGACGTGACCCCGCGGGCAACGCTGCCTTAGCCTCACGTCGTGATTTCTTATTCACGTCTTCTTCTCTTAAACCCCCCCCCCCCCCCGAGAGCCAGACATTTTAGTCCCGCGAGCTCACGCGGACCTAAATTACGTTGTTTCAGTCGGCGCGTGCATCATTATTCAGGTTGATGCAAAGCTCACCCATGGACCTGCCGTTAATGGGTGGATGGGCTGAAACAAGGTGTCCCCCAGCCTTAGGACTGAATGGATTTGTAAGTTGCGGTCATTTTGGCATCTTCACTTCCTCTCGTACGTGTGTCAGGTATTTCCTGAACACGGTGTGCCTGTTGCTCACTGACATGAGATAGTACTGACACTGCCTATATTCTTTCCCTCATGAAATACATACACACACACACACACACACACACACACACACATATATATATATATATATATATATATAGAGAGAGAGAGAGAGTCACCCTGCACATCGTTCATCTTATTTCTGCACACATGGGGTGTTTTGGTGTGTGCTGCAAAAGCCCCTCTCAGGCATGCTTTTCCTTTTTCAAATAAGAAGATGTGGATATCATAAAGATTGAATGAGTCACTAAATGATTGAATGATATTCCTAAACGCTTTGAATCTCGTTTAAACAGATTTGAAGTCTGCACCAATGATTTTGCATCCCTACATCCCCCCTGGATTGTTTTGTATGCCCTCTTTTAAGGAATCTTTGGGACATCAGAGTTGGTTATAAGGCTGATTATAGTTCCAGGAACATATTTGAGTTTGAGCAGGATTTTATGTTTCCTTCCAGCTTGGGAATCTTTCTTGACTGTTGTCATGTCTCAGATTGGATCTTTTTTTTTAAATCCATAGATGTTATAGTAGAATGAAAGATTAAGCTAAACCTCATAATTCTTATTGTTTGTGTTTGACTTAAGAAACTTTTTTAAAGTACCAAGAGTTACTTTTGTCCCACTCTTCTAACAAATAATTAAAGCACAGTATTTTATCATTTTCTTTTACAGTCAAGGAGTTCCTTGCTAAAGCCAAAGAGGACTTCCTCAAGAAGTGGGAAAATCCTGCACAGGTTAGTGGCAGCCCTTATGGTTTCAGCATACTAAAACTTTGATAGACAAAGCACTTTTTATCCTGATCGTTTCTTTCAATATGCCTAATGTTCTGCCAATTTCCCATTTTCCTTCAGTTTAAAGCTACACGCCATACCAAATGAAATTATTACAACTAATAGTTATATAGTCAGATTATAACACCGTATGCATACAAAAAATCATTTATAAATGATTAGTTTCAACATTAAAATGAACATTCAATATACTGTTACCTACCAGTTACAGACACATAAACCAAAATGGATAAGAAACAGAAAACAATTGGGATTGTACATCTTGCCAGAAATCCCCTCCTTGGAAATGTAAAGCCACAAAAGGATTTATTTATTCTACAATTAACAACATTTATTTATAAATCTCTATAAAGGTTACAGTGAGCAAAAAGAACTCCATCCAGCCATCTATGTAGGTTTAAAATATATATAAATTAAATTGACAAAATATGAAATATTTTCCAATGTCATAATATACAGGGAGGGTCTATAAAGTAAATCTGTTGTTGACCGCAGACTTTGATGTGAATGAATTTCACCACCATTTAAAGCTAACAAAATTAAACTAAACAATTATCACTGGGTGGAGATAATGAAATCTTAAACCTTTTATCTTTGGTCATAGTTATTTTGCTATAACAACATGCATGTATCATTTATCAATCATTTAAAAAAAACTTAATTTTGTCAAGAGAATGGGAAAACTTTTAGTGTTTATATGATTTTGTTGTTACTGATTTTCAGTCTAGAGCTGCTGGAAAGCCTTCATTTGCTCAATATCAGTTTATGACCCATAACCAAAGCCACAGGAAAATGGTGAGCCTGTTGGAGCAGCTTTAAAAAGGCCAAGAAAAGCCTGGTAAAAAAGTTTTCAGTGTGCGCTTCAGTGAAGTTGTCAGCATAGCCTTCTACACGTCTGTCAGCTGATTTATCTTTTGTTTTTCTATCTTTTTCTCGAAAAATCATTTAAAAAGGAACATGCAGCTAGATAATTTCCAATTGCGATTTCTAAGATATATTTTATTTATTTTTCTTAAAAAAATACTAAGATGGTTTTAATTAATAATATTATTATGATACAAACAAATAATGCATATGTTTGTAAGAAATGTAAACATTCTATTGAAACTATGTAGCAGTAACAGCAATGTGTTGATTAGTGACAGAATTTTTACTGATGAATCTTTAAAAATGGATGCATAGAAAAATATTGTTATTATTTAAATATGTCATCTTGGCTTTTTTACAAGCTTTTTACACAATGCTATTAATAACATTTAAATACCCCAACATTCATAGTGGCAAAAACAATCAATCCCCAGTGCAGACACATGTATTTATGCTGCAAACTGCTGTAGAGTTTTCAGCAATCATAAAAGCCACGTTTTTATGTGACATACTGATACTTTCTATAGTATGCATAATGCAGCATCAGTAAATGGGAGCTGAATCCCGGCCAAGGACTACTTGAAAATCAATGTTGATTCTTACAACACGACCCCCACGTCCTATTTTCACCATCATCTGCTAAGCGTTTTTGTCTCGTGTGCTCAGAACACTGCTTGCCTGGAGCAGTTTGAGAGGTTGAAAACCCTGGGCACGGGCTCGTTTGGCCGCGTTATGCTGGTGAAGCACAGAGAGACGGGACAGCATTACGCCATGAAGATCCTCAATAAGCAGAAGGTCAGTCTGGCTCCGGAGTCGTCGGGTTCACCGTGCAGCCGGGCCACGCTCGTGTGTTTTTCGCCTTCGAATGATCCCTGCTGAGAGTTGTATGAAACATGGACATATCCTCCATTCACCATCGATGAAACACTAAAGTAGAAACAGTGAATTAATGTAGAGTTGTTTCTTTCTTTCTTTTTTACTCAAGTTGTTATCCATAAAGCTCTCAGATTGGATAAGCGGATAAATTAACTGCTTTCAGCATTTTTCTTTCTGGTTTACCACTCAAAGTGCTGTTGTACAAAAAAATCCACCCATTCATGCAGCTTATACATATAAAGGTGGGGAAAGGCGATATAAATATGTAAGAATATCTACTTAATTTGTTCCTCTATCACACACAGTCCTCGCATGCTGAGGCTCAGAGTGTTAAACCTTCCTCATGGTAGACAAAAGGCCCGACAACACAAAGGGAATCGGTGAATATCCCCTGTTTGATCGCGTAGTCATTTGGACACTAAAGCGGAATACAGATGTGGATTTTCATAATTAGACTGTTGAGCTAACCAACCTAATCAATCATTGGAAGCAGACGTTTGCAAAACATGTTGAATTTCTTTTAAAAACTGTTCATATATTTATTATTCATTTTTCACGTTGTAATGATGTGTCTAATTCATATGTGACAGTCTGGTTTTCTTTCTCCCTACCTCCCTCTCAGGTGGTGAAGCTCAAGCAGATAGAACACACTCTGAATGAGAAGAGGATTCTCCAGGCTGTCAGCTTCCCTTTTCTTGTGCGATTAGAGTACTCATTCAAGGTACTGAGAACTTCTGAAGCTGTGTGTACACAATGTGTGTGTGTCTGTGTCGACTGTGAGCATCGCCCATCATGAGCCCCTGTTTAAATTCCCTCTTCTGGTTCAGAAGCAGGAATATGTGGCATTTTCAAATCTTAGGTCTGCTCTTGGTTGTGTCTGTGCTGTTGTTGGTGCTTTAGTTTTGATCTACTTTAGTGTGTGGAAAACAAGTGTTGAAATAACATCAGAGCTCTTTGCTTTTTATCTTGTTTTCTTTTAGATTTGTCCTCTTTTCAGTGAAATCGGTTGTTGCCGGGCCCTAAAACCTCAGGGTGGTTCATGTTAACCTTTAACTGTCCGATCAGTGTATCGTTGTTCCTGAAGTCTGGCCTCTTGGAGACATACTTGTCTGTCTTTGCTAAAAAGGGACAGATGTCTACAGAAGGGGGGCAGCATAGATGGCTGGATTCATGCAAATATTACCAAGTCTTACACGTTGTTTCTAGTCTTACAAAGGCGGATACATGCTTAATTTGTCTTGTTGCCATATATCCAGAAACCGCTGCCAAAAGAAGCATCATGTGGAGATGAGTCTGTATCTGTATTAGCTGTGGATTGTTTCCACTATCAATGACCCAGAATGCTAAGTCTTGTGCTAAGTATACGATGTAAGTGAGTATTTAGTAAATCTGTAAAATGTTTGATTTAAAAAAAAACATTGTTGTAGGAGAGAATTTGAAAACGATTTGTTTCATCTCAGTCTGAGCAGCTGGAATTGAATTCAAAGCGAGGGAAATTTAAAAAATTAGGGGGCTAAATGCTCCACTCTGCTCAGCAGCATGTTACATAATTTTTCTGTTGTTTTTTGTTGAGCCAGTGCTCTTCACTGGCTCAATTTTAGTGCTTTTTCGCTAATAAGAGTCTGAAATGTAAAGCTACCATCTGTAAGTTCTTTAAAAAAAAAACGTTAGGGGCCAAAGAGACGCAGTTGCGGATATCTCTTTATTTTTTTAAGTTTGTCAATGCGAGCAACACCTCCTGTCACTGCTGAGGTCTGCGAACAGGGGGACAAATTTACAGGAAAAACACAGAACAATTGACGCCCAATTAAAGGGATCTGGTAGTGCTCTTGATTGATTTTCACCTCACAGAAAGTGGCCCGTTCTCCGTCCCTCAGTTTGGGGCTGCTGTCCTCAGTCCAGTCAGAAAGAACAGAAGTCGCCTCATTAGCTTTGAAAATCTGGGCCTGCACAGCCTGCAGGATTCATAACAGTCTTCGGCTATGAAGAACACCAACCACATTCTTACATCTTGTCATCAGTTCGATTAATGTCACTGCTGTTGTGTTGTGATTTTGACTTTCTGAAGTCATTAACCCTTCCGTGGCGGTTGCCGGTCCCCATGCTGCATACCAGCAGTGCGGAGTGGAGTGTGTGGACCTGCCATGTGACTAGCTGGCAGTGGCAGTTTGAACCCGCACAGACTAGCCCAGCTGATGACCATGCTTACTTACTGGGCCTTATTCAGTTTAAGCTGTTTAGATGCACCTGGATGTTCAGGGATTGAACCTTAAATAAACCTATTAACGGTCCATGTCGGTTGTTTCCTCACACAGGTGGAAGAGAGGTAGCAAATCAACTCTCTGTGGTTAGAGTGTAGAGTGGACGCATTCACGTAGATTAACACAAAATTGCACTTGTCTAAGAGGGAGGAGTTTTACATACTAAATCTCTGCTCTTGAGCATTTGTCCTGCTAAACGATTGTCTGACAGTCGACAGGAAGGGACAAACCAAGCACTGACTTTTCGTCACCATCCCAGTTTGTGGGCTGGTGAGATCTAGTCATTTGGTTGCAAGTTGGAGTTTGTACCAGCAGATGTCTACAGATTGTCCACAGTGGCTTTCATGTTTCCTATTCACTGATCATTTAGATAAAAGTCAGTGAATCGCGGACCATCCTGCCTCTTTTTGTAATTTTGTCCATGTCACTCACTTGTCTGCGTATGCACTTATCCTTGTAGCAGAGACCAACATATGTTTTTCCCTCCCCAGGACAACACTAACCTCTACATGGTGATGGAATACGTTCCAGGCGGAGAGATGTTCTCCCATCTACGAAGAATTGGCAGATTTAGGTCAGTGTGTCGGTCTGAATGAAGGATTTTCAGATGGTAATCGGGTCTGTTGCATTGCTCTCTGCTCAGACCCTCGGCTCCCTGTGGTACAGTCCACTTAACTTCTCTCCGTCCCCTCCATTCCCATTTTGTGTGTGGACAGTGAGCCGCACGCTCGGTTCTACGCTGCTCAGATCGTTTTGACCTTTGAGTACCTGCACGCTTTGGACCTGATCTACAGAGACCTGAAACCTGAAAACCTGCTGATAGACCAACAGGGTTACATACAGGTAAATGACCCCCAACGCAGACCCCCGGTCCAGCTCAGTTTCCATAGCGCCAGTTTACCACCTGTGTTATTACGGGGCACCTTACGGAGAAAAGTCAGCAAGTTCGTTCCAGTTTGATAGATTCAAATCCATCTTGGTCCAGTTCAGTTATTTCAGCCGGGCTGCATTCAGTTCAGTTCTACCGCAGTGTGCTGAGTAGGTGCGTCGCTCCCAGAGCTTTTCACCACTTTGATCTCAGTCCACTGCCACACCTTTCTGAAATTCTCCCCTGTGATCTGAGCCCGAAACCTCATTTGCACAAAGTTTGTGTGAACAGCGGCAAATCGTTCTAAAGGCAGGAAAGCGAAAAGTTCCTGTTGCTGCCGTTGCAGCCCATAAGACAATCTTTTTACACGGGCGTAGTCTTCCTAGGTCGGACCACAGCTTCTGTCTGATTTCAGCTGCGCACTTGAAACAATTCATCTATGCTTCTGACATTTGTGGTTAGCTAGAAGCTGAACTGTAACTTGGGTTCAGACTCCAGTGGGAATTTTTCCATGACATTTTGCCACGATGACAAGCCTCCCAGCTCAGAGCTGGTCGATGTCCTGGCCGTATTGCAGAGTGCGTCACCCTCTTGTGGTTAACTGAGAAATAACAGCTGGCACTTTACTCCCCAGCTTCTCCAAGACCAAAACGTCTTTCTTAATCGCTCCTCTGGCCTGTCCCTGACATAGCGGCAAACCTCCCACAAAGGCCCTCCGTTCATTTCCGTTGTCGCTCTTTGTTTGTCATTATCCGTCAGGTTACAGATTTTGGCTTCGCCAAACGTGTAAAGGGCCGGACCTGGACACTGTGCGGCACCCCAGAATATCTGGCTCCAGAGATTATCCTGAGCAAGGTGAGTTGGCTTGGGCTCTCACACCCGTGGGAATCCAACGCTGAAGTCAGTGGTTTTTTAAAATATTTGAAGAAGATTCGTCCATTCCTAAAAGTGATCAAACTTTCAGGAGCCAGCCAATTATTAGTTTTATATATTCAGAGCAAAATATTAGCACTTATACTTGTATTTTGAAGTGCGTGTGACGTAAATGTTTATGGCCGCGAAGAAAACCCTCTGATCTGATTGGATCTGAGCTCTGAGCTCTTCTATCTATCTGTCCCTTCCTCCAGGGGTATAACAAGGCAGTGGACTGGTGGGCGCTGGGCGTACTGGTCTATGAGATGGCAGCAGGGTATCCACCTTTCTTTGCCGATCAGCCCATTCAAATCTATGAAAAGATTGTGTCAGGAAAGGTGAGTTTGGCTCTCAGTTCATTGGTTTTTGCTCCTCACCACCTGTAATAACAACCTCCTGTGAAGGGTTGCTTATCTCAGAGGGAGCCATGGGTTCAGGTGAGGGGAAACGCTCTAATCCACATGCTCTCCGCGTGCTCACCGCCAGGAGTCATGTTGAATGCTTCATGTGATGAGAGCGGTCCCCTTTTTTTTACGCTGACGAACAGAGGCGATGGTCAATCATTTACGATAGATGTGACAGGTAAAAGCCGTGAAAGGCTTTTGTTTTCAGTTTCCGTTTGTTTTTCTCAGGCTGAGAGGTGATGCGGTACTCTGGTCAGTTTTAGGTTCTCCTGAAAGCCCTCGTGTTTAAGAAGGTGTTTCTTTTTTAACGTGGCTTCAGTCTGAGTGGTTTAAGCCCGCTCAGTGTCCCGTAAAACTGATCACAGGAACAAAGAAAAGCTATTTTGCTACAGTTTTATGGTCGTAAAAGCTAAAGTTTGAGGTTTTCTTTTTACCTTATTTGTTTGGAGAACAAAGGTGGTAGATGGAACCCAGGGAGAAAAACAAAGTGACGGGAAACTGAAGGAATGGGAATGGCTCCATCTACGGATGTTTTGACAGAACAGGCACCGAAAACATACAATAAAAGTGGTTGAAAAATGGACAAATCCAGCTCATTTTGAGCTTTGGAAAAGTCCAACCTGACGGAAGTCCAATCAAAACAACAAAGGTTGTTTCTGACCGCCGATGTGGTCAGATATCAACGAGAATTTTGGAGAACATTTGGTCATTTGGCTTAAATTTGGACTTCGGAAAACACAAGTCTGTACTTTCGCACGAAATTCCTTTTCTTGCTCCCTTCCTTTTCTGTCTGTTAACATCTTTGCTGCGGCCCCCCCAAAGAAACGCTTTTTTTTTTCTGAAAAGCTGTCTGTTGAGGAGAGTGGTCGGTTGTGAATCTTGGGCCGGTCCCGTAACGGCTGCTGACTCTCTGTGCTCAGGTCCGTTTCCCGTCTCACTTCAGCTCGGACCTGAAGGACCTCCTGAGGAACCTGCTACAGGTGAAGGCTCACATCTGTGTCAGTCTGGTGCCCAGGTGTAAACCTGTCTGTTAGAGTCGAGAGTGAGACAAAAAAAAACAAAACGTGTCGCCGTCGTCCCCAGGTGGATCTCACCAAGCGCTACGGGAACCTGAAAAACGGCGTCAACGACATCAAGGGCCACAAGTGGTTCGCGACGACCGACTGGATCGCCATCTACCAGAAAAAGGTGAGCGGCGATACCTGCCCTTCGTCCGCCCCCGCGCGGGCCTCTCCGCTTTACGCCGACCGGTGGCTTTCTGCCCTCAGGTGGAAGCGCCCTTCGTCCCAAAGTTCAAAGGACCAGGCGACACCAGCAACTTTGACGACTATGAGGAGGAGGAGATCCGCGTCTCCTTCAGCGAGAAATGTGCCAAGGAATTTGCCGAATTCTAGAGTTAGAGAGCAAGAGAGGAAGGAGGAAGGAAGTAGGGAGAGTCGAAGGTAGGCTGGTCAAGTGGGAGACACCAGGAGAAAGTCCTGTCTCCCACTCAAACACGAGCACCAGCTACAAAAAGAGGAAAAATGGGGTAGAGGCGGTAAGGAGAGAGAGGAGACTGATAACCAGCAGTGTTGCCTTTTCTGTTTTGTCTCTGTCTTATTTTATTTATGATTCTGTCTTATTTATGAATCCCTTTATAACAAAGCTGTGTTTCATGGGTGTCGGGAACCCCACTAATTTAGAGTCGCCTCACACACTTTCACCCCCAAATCTTCCCTTTTACGACTCTGTTATTCATCTTTTATTCGGTTTCGTCCCACAAAACAGAGGAAAATCGACCCGCGGCGATCCACTCCGGTTCGTTACTCCTCGCCGGGGTTGGGGGGGGGGGGGGTGAATCCACACAGAGGTTTTCATTTCAACCGACAAATGCTGAACCCGCTTTACGCTTAGAGCGCAACACACACACACACACAGACACACACATATCCACAGAAAAGCCAGTGTTTTGCTGTTTTTAATCTTACATTTTTCTTTTAGGTGAATACTTCCCCTCTCATCACACCTAATGGGCCGAAAGACAAAAAGTCAGTTCTGTTTGTTGTGTAGCGTCGTTAGCATAGCCAGAGCACATCTGCAGTACTCCATTTTACATGTTACTAGACAGTAGTGGCTCCAATGATAATCATATCACTCTACCAAGGAATTATGAATAAGGGAACGGAACTCTCTCAGTTTTAGTGGTGTTTTGTAAAGCACCATATCATAATGGAAACTCAGGTTCGAACATATCACTTAACAGACGTTTATCTACATAAAACTAAGGCTCAGCAGGTAAATCTCTAACGTAGATTTAAGAATTTAAAGTTCTGATTCACGTTTAAAAAAAAAAATGGAACAAAAGGGACTATTTAGACTTTTAGTTGGCGTCTTCCACAGTTTTCCCTTCCAGAACATTTGGTTTTGCCTGCTCGTGAAGGCCGTTTTTTCGTGAAAGCACTTCCTCGCTGAGCCAGGAGCTAGCCCTCTGCTCTCCGCCGTCCCGTCGCTGGATGGACGGCTCGGCTCTCCACTCGTAGACGGCGTGAGGCAGACCACTGGCTGCTGGTCATCAGGACTGCAGCCGGACGCAGTCAGGCAGCAGTCTGGATAGCGTGCCCTCTGCCCGTGTCTCCCGGCCCACCCCCCCATGACGCTTTCAGAGCAGCTAACCACCTATGTCTCTCTCTGACAGCCACTCAGCCCCCCCCCCTATTTTTTTTTCATCATAGTGGTGAAGATTTAAAGATGACCAGTACTTCATTGAAAAAATTAGGAAAAGAGACCACCTGGAGGGCAATAGAGCTAGTTCTATACAACCTCCTGCTATGAAATATTAAACTATTTGCACCTCAGGTGTTCAGCGTCTCTTTTGTTAATAGACTCCGTTAGCAGATTACCTGAACGATTTTCCAGAACGGTGGTCATCGTAGGATTTGTTCAGTGAGAATATGTGAGGGGAAAAGCAGTGGCCCTGCTGTCTTTTTCAGAGGTTAAAATGCCTTTTCTTTGTCGCTGTAATTTGATGTGCCAGTTCAATATGAGGATCTGCTAATTCGGTCAAAATAGGAACGGCAGGTTTTTTCTGACGTGCTGTGGACAGTCACGAACGCCTGAAGAGCTCACCGATAGAAAATATGACGAGCCTGTCCTCAGAGTCAGCGTACACATTTGCAGGGTGGAACTCTTTGTCTAATTTGGAACATGAGTTAACATCGGCCCAACATGGAAGAGTTGGTTATGCTAGTTTTTTCTCAATGTTAATGGCCAAACGTCTGGCTCTGAGGGCCCTGGACCTCTGTTGAACCCCCCCCCCCTCGTGCATTGGCCGATTTACTGAGTGGTTCATTTGGCTCCAACGCAGATATATAGCATCAGTTGATATAGTGACCGTCTGACGGAATCTTTCCAGCAATTTATCATCAACCAAAAAAAACCTGCAAAAGACCGGCTTCAGAGGATAAGGTCAAACTCCCAAAACACCCAGCAGATAACTGTCACTCAGCTCTTTTGGCTCTGTCTGGAGCAAATGGATAATAACTGCTTTTCTGTGTTGGTTTTTTTTTTTGTGAATTAATTTTCCTTTAGGACCAAATTCCAGAACAAAACGGCATACCTTCCAAAATATACAGAAAATGGAGCAAAACTAATATGTCAGCGTGGTTGTAGTTGATTATAAGTTACCGTGGGAGGGGGCCCTTGGAAATATAGTGGGGGGGGGGGGGGGGGGGGGGCAGGAAATAGGCCGACAACCTCACAGAGGCTCCCTATGATAAGATGTGATGTTGTGCTTGTGTATGGACACATCCCCTCACAGGCTGACTGCACCAGTCCTAAACCGGTCACCATGGTCAGCTTAAGGCCTCAGATAGAAGATTGCTTTCATTCAAGGGAAAGCAGCTTGAAACCAAACGCGTCCCTCGTGTCCCCTGCTTTTCATCCCGGGGGGTTCAACCACTGAGCTTTCTTTCCACATCTTTCTGCTAGAGAGAAACAGATGACAAGTCAACATTTTTTTTTCAAAAATCCGTATCTTGACCGTACAGGGGGATAAAACAGCCGCATGCCCACTGATGGTCATCCGCTGGCTCTTTGTTGAGGATGGACACATTTACAGGAAGTTCTTCTCCTTCTTCAATTGTTTACATCACTTGTTCAGACTTCCCACTGGCTGTGTTTTTTTCCTTCACGTCAGGTTTGATGTGGATCATCCCGGACAAAACGTTTGAAGCTACGATACTCCATCATTACGCGTCTCCTCCATGTTTTTTTTGCAGTGATAAAAAACTTCCGCTCAACGCAGGCACAATGCTGGTACATACTGTCGCACTTTTTAGGGAAATTAGATCCCGATGTGTTACCCCCTGCCACAAACACACACACAAACACACACACACACACACAAATCCAAGAGCGCGCGAGACACATCCGCAAAGGGAAGCGTCCAGAAGTCACGGGAGCAGTGACATAAAAAACACGAAGTGTAATATTTTGCAACATGAGTATCATTCCAATAAAGTTTTACTTGTAAAAATTCTACTGGGGGTCGCCTGTGCTTCGTGGGTACCGCCGTGTGGTTGTGTAACGCCGGAAAGTTGGTGGAAGAACGACCCGGCGGGGGTGAGAGGTGCGGACGTCCCTCGGTGGTTCTGGCCTGGAGGTCAGGCATCCATCAGAGCCGCCCGGTGCGGTCACCCACCCATCTGTTGACCCCCCCGGCCGGATCCGACACGCCGGAGAGGCGCAAAACCCCTCCGCGACTGGGCACGATCTGGGGAGAGCGCGAACAAAGAGAAGCCAGCCCCAGCCATTCCACCTTAAATGCGGGTGTTGCGGCTGGGGCGCCATCTTCGGTCCACCTTAAGCGCACGATGTGGCCAGCCAACGCGAGCGGACACCAGCCGGGCTTCCGTCCTCGCTCTCCAGCCGGAGGGGGGGGGGTCGCACTTCGGCTTTCCAGCTTTGACACAGCGTCACTTGAGAAACAGCGGAGGGAGGGAGGGAGGGAGGGAGAGGGTGGGGGGGGTGGGAGGGGGGCGAGACGCACACGGGCCAAACCCCATCCGCACCCACAGGAGAAGATGTCCGAGCCCAACAAGTACCGGGAGTGGATCCTGGAAACTATCGACTCGCTCCGCTCGAGGAAAGCGCGTCCGGATCTGGAGAGGATCTGTCGAATGGTCCGGAGACGGCACGGCACGGACCCGGAGCGAACCCGGGCGGAATTGGACAAACTCATCCAAGAGCAGACGGTGCTCAAAGTTAGCTACAAGGGCTCCACATCGTACCGGAACGCGGCCAGAGTGCAGCGGAAGAGCAGGAACAGGAGCGAGTCCGCGGATGCGCCGCCGGAGCGGGGCAGCGGCGGCGGCGGTGACACCGACCGGGAGGGGGGGGGCCACGGCCACGACCCCCGCGCTCAGCCGCCGGCCGCCGGCGAACGGCTCCAGCCGCAGGAGGAGAAAGCCAGCGCCGCGAGAGACGAGGGGTTAGGGCGGCCGGTGGGGGTCCAGGGTTCCACCCGGAGCGCGGGGGCACGCGGCGGGAGCGAGGCGGCCGAGACCGGGGCTGACACCCGGAGCCAAACTTCCTCCCCCCCGTCCTCCTCCTCCTCCTCCTCCTCCTCTTCCTCCCCCCGCCGCCGCCACCGACAGACGCAGACGGCGCCCCTCCAGCCCGAACTTCGGCCCTCGGGGGGCGGCCCCGGCTCGGACCCGGGCCCCGGACCCTCTGCCCACGGAGGCAGAGTCCGAGCGGGCGCGGAGCGGGGCGGGCTGCGTGGCCCCCCGGGGGGGAATCCGTCCTCCGACAGACTCACAAAAGGCTTCGCGCTCCGGGACCAACCCAGCGGGGGGGGAAAGGTGGGCGACGCCGACACGTCCCGGACGGATGGAGCGGTTTCTGTTTGGTCTTTTTAAACCCGAGCCCACGAGCGCCTGCACGAGATGGTTTCGCAGCCAATCGTGTATTTCCCCCCGTTTAACCTCGATGTATAGATGCGGACTACAAAAGTGCTTTTTTGGGGGGGTTCTTTCATATTTTCGGTTTATTTCTCGTTGCCTCACACTCAGGTTCGCCTTCGGAACGCAACCGTTTCGTGTTGCGTTCGAGGACAGATGTGTGTTCGTGTGTGTGTGTGTGTGTGTGTGTGTGTGTGTGTGTGTGTGTGTGT